AAAGTAGGAAAACACCCGAAACCAGAACACCTCGCCTCCTACAAAGGACCAAAACTCCTCACAAGCAAGGGAACAAAGCTGGACGGAGAATGACTGTGACGAAATGGCGGAATCAGACTTCAGAAGGTGGGTAATGAAAAACTTCTGTGAGCTAAAAGAACATGTTCTAAATCAATGCAAAGAAACTAAGAACCTTGAAAGAAGATTTGAAAAAAGATTTGAGGAAATGGTAACAAGAAAGGATAACTTAGAGAGGAATATGAATGAATTGAAAGAGCTGAAAAACACAAAATGAGAATTTCACTAAGCATGCACAAGTTTCAACAGCCAAATTGACCAAGCAGAAGAAAGAATATCAGAAGTTGAAGATCAACTCAATGAAATAAAACGAGAAACCAAGATTAGAGAAAAAAATGCAAAAAGGAATGAACAAATTCTCCAAGAAATGTGGGATTATGTGAAGAGACCTAACCTACATTTGATAGGTGTACCAGAAGGGGACGAAGAGAACGAATTCAAGCTGGAAAATACTCCTCAGAATATTATCCAGGAAAATTTCCCCAACCTAGCAAGGCAGGCCAACACTCAAATCCAGGAAATACAGAGAACACCACAAAGATACTCTGCAAGAAGAGCAACCCCAAGGCACATAATCGTCAGATTCACCAAGGTTGAAATGAAGGAGAAAATACTAAGGGCAGCCAGAGAGAAAGGTCGGGTCACCCACAAAGGGAAGCCCATCAGACTCACAGCAGATCTCTTGGCAGAAACTCTACAAGCAAGAAGAGAGTGGGGGCCAATATTCAACATCCTTAAAGAAAAGAACTTTCAACCCAGAATTACATATCCAGCCAAACTGAGCTTCATAAGTGAAGGAAAAATAAAATCCTTTGCGAACAAGCAAGTACTCAGAGATTTTGTCACCACCAGGCCTGCTCTATAATAGCTCCTGAAAGAGGCACTGCACATAGAAAGGAACAACCAGTACCAGTCATTCCAAAAACACACTAAATGCTAAAGGGCATCAACAAAATGAAGAATCTTCATCAACTAACGGGAAAAACAGCCAGCTAGCATCAAAATGGCAGTATCGAATTCACACAAAACAATATTAACCCTAAATGTAAATGGGCTAAATGCACCAATCAAAAGACACAGACTGGCAAATTGGATAAAAAACCAAAACCCATCAGTGTGCTGTATCCAGGAAACCCATCTCACATGCAAGGATACACAAAGGCTCAAAATAAAGGGATGGAGGAAGATTTACCAAGCAAATGGAAAGCAAAAAAAAGCAGGAGTTGCAATTCTCATCTCTGATAAAACAGACTCTAAAGCAACAAAGATCAAAAGAGACAAAGAAGGTCATTACATAATGGTCAAAGGATTGATACAACAAGAAGAGCTAATGATTCTAAATGGACCCAATACAGGAGCAGCCAGATATATAAGGCAAGTTCTTAATGACTTACAAAGAGACTTAGACTCCCACACAATAATAGTGGGAGACTTTAATACTCCACTGTCAATATTAGACAGATCAACCAGACAGAAGTTAACAAGGATATCCAGGGCTTGAACTCAGACCTGGAACAAGCAAACCTGATAGACATTTACAGAACTCTCTACCCCAAATCCACAGAATATACATTCTTCCCAGCACCACATCACACCTACTCTAAAATTGACCACATAATTGGAAGTAAAGCACTCCTCAGCAAATGCAAAACAATGGAAATCATAACAAACAGTCTCTCAGACCATAGTGCAATCAAGTTAGAACTCAGAATTCAGAAACTAACCCAGAACCACACAGCTTCATGGAAGCTGAACAACTGGCTCTTGAATGTTGACTGGATAAACAATGAAATGAAGGCAGAAATAAAGAAGTTCTTCGAAACCAATGAGAACGAAGACACAACATACCAGAATCTCTGGGACACATTTAAAGCAGTCTTTAGAGGAAAATATATAGCAATAAGTGCCCATATGAGAAGAGTGGAGAGATCCAGAATTGACACCCTATTGTCAAAATTGAAAGAGCTAGAGGAGCAAGATCAAAAAAAAACTCAAAACCTAGCAGAAGACAAGAAATAACTAAGATCAGAGCAGAACTGAAGGAGACAGAGACACGAAAAACCCTTCACAAAATCAGTAAATCCAAGAGCTGGTTTTTTGAAAAGATCAACAAAATAGACAGACCACTAGCCAGACTGATAAAAAAGAAAAGAGAGAACAACCAAATAGATGCAATAAAAAACGATAAAGGGGAAATCACCACAGATTCCACAGAAATTCAAACCATCATCAGAGAATATTACAAACAACTCTATGCACATAAACTAGTAAACCTGGAAGAAATGGATAAATTCCTGGACACCTGTGTCCTCCCAAGCCTAAACCAGGAGGAAGCCGAAACTATGAATAGACCAATAACAAGGTCTGAAGTCGAGGCAGCAATTAAGAGCCTACCACACAAAAAAAGTCCAGGTCCAGATGGGTTCACAGCCGAATTCTACCAGACACACGCAGAGGAGCTGGTACCATTCCTTCTGAAACTATTCCAAAGAATCCAAAAAGAGGGAATCCTTCCCAAATCATTTTATGAGACCAACATCATCCTGTTGCCAAAACCCGGCAGAGACCCAACAAGAAAAGAAAACTTCAGGCCAATATCCATGATGAACACAGATGCAAAAATCTTCAATAAAATATTGGCAAGCCGATTGCAACAGCACACCAAAAACTTAGCCATCATGATCAAGTAGGATTCATCCCGGGGATGCAAGGCTCGTTCAACATACGCAAGTCTATAAACGTAATTCACCACATAAACAGAACCAAAAACAAAAACCACATGATTATCTCAATTGACGCAGAGAAGGCATTTGACAAAATACAACAGCCCTTTATGCTAAAAACCCTCAATAAACTCGGTATTGGTGGAATGTATCCCAAAGTAATAAAAGCTATTTATGACAAACCAACAGCCAATATCATACTGAATGGGCAAAAACTGGAAGCATTCCCTTTGAAATCCAGCACTAGACAAGGATGCCCTCTTTCACCACTCCTATTCAATATAGTATTGGAAGTTCTAGCCACAGCAATCAGGGAAGAAAAAGAAATAAAGGGTATTCAAATAGGAAAGATGGAAGCCAAATTGTCACTATTTGCAGACGACATGATAGTATACCTAGAAGACCCCATCGCCTCAGCCCAAAAACTCCTGAAACTGATAAGCAACTTCAGCAAAGTCTCAGGATATAAAATCAATGTGCAAAAATCACAAGCATTCCTCTACACCAATAACAGACTTAAAGAAAGCCAAATCAAGAACGAACTGCCACTCACAATTGCTACAAAAAGAATAAAATACCTAGGAATACAACTCACAAGGAATGTAAGGGACCTCTTCAAGGAAAACTACAACCACTGCTCAATGAAATAAGAGAGAACACAAAGAGATGGAGAAACATTCCATGTTCATGGTTAGGAAGAATTAATATCGTGAAAATGGCCATACTGCCCAAAGTAATTTACAGAGTCAACGCTATCCCCATCAAGCTACCATTGACTTTCTTCACAGAACTGGAAAAAACCACCATGAACTTCATATGGAACTAAAAGAGAGCCCGCATAGCCAAGTAAATTCTAAGCAAAAAGAACACAGCGGGGGGCATCACACTACCGGATTTCAAACTATACTACAAGGCTACAGTAATCAAAACAGCATGGTACTGATACCAAAACAGAGATATAGACCAACGGAACAGAACAGAGACATCGGAGGCAACACAACATATCTACAACCATACAATCTTTGATAAACCTGACAAAAACAAGCAATGGGGAAAGGATTCCCTGTTTAACAAATGGTGTTGGGAAAACTGGCTAGCCATGTGCAGAAAGCAGAAACTGGACCCCTTCCTGACACCTTACACTAAAATTAACTCCAGATGGATTAAAGACTTAAACATAAGACCTGGCACCATAAAAACCCTAGAAGAAAATCTAGGCAAAACCATTCAGGACATAGGAGTAGACAAGGATTTCATGACCAAAACACCAAAACCATTGGCAACAAAAGCCAAAATAGACAAATGGGACCTAATCAAACTCCACAGCTTCCGCACGGCAAAAGAAACAGTCATTAGAGTGAATCGGCAACCAACAGAATGGGAAAAAATTTTTGCAGTCTACCCATCTGACAAAGGGCTGATATCCAGAATTTACAAAGAACTCAAACAGATTTACAGGAAAAAAACAAACAAGCCCATTCAAAAATGGGCAAAGGATATGAACAGATACTTTACAAAAGAACACATACATGAGGCCAACAAACATATGAAAAAATGCTCATTATCACTGGTCATTAGAGAGATGCAAATCAAAACCACATTGAGATACCATCTCATACCAGTTAGAATGGCAATCATTAAAAAAATCTGGAGTCAACAGATGCTGGAGAGGATGTGGAGAAATAGGAACACTTTTACATTGTTGGTGGGAGTGTAAACTAGTTCAACCATTGTGGAAGACAGTGTGGCGATTCCTCAAGGCCTTAGAAATAGAAATTCCATTTGACCCAGCAATCCCATTACTGGGTATATATCCAAAGGACTATAAATTGTTCTACTATAAGGATACATGCACACGAATGTTCATTGCAGCACTGTTTACTTTAGCAAAGACCTGGAACCAACCCAAATGCCCATCGATGATAGACTGGATTGGGAAAATATGGCACATATACACCATGGAATATTATGCAGCAATCAAAAATGGTGAGTTCGTGTCGTTTGTAGGGACATGGATGAATCTGGAGAACATCATTCTCAGCAAACTGACACAAGAACAGAAAATGAAATACTGCATATTCTCACTCATAGGCGGGTGATGAAAAATGAGAACACATGGACACAGGGAAGGGAGTACCAAACACTGGGGTCTATTGGGGGAAGAGGGGAGGGACAGTGGCAGGGGGCAGAGCTGGGGAGGGATAGCCTGGGGAGAAATGCCAAATGTGGGTGAAGGGGAGGAAGGCAGCAAAACACACTGCCATGTTTGTACCTATGCAAATGTCTTGCATGTTCTGCACATGTACCCCAAAACCTAAAATGCAATAAAAAAAAAAGGAAAAAGAATTCAACCAAATACCCATTTGTTAGCCCAGCATTGGAAGTCACCAGCCTTAAAGAATGATTGGAGAGAATAAAAGAGAGAGAGAGAGAAAAAAGAATGATTGGAGAATCAACCAGTACCAGTACTGCCAGCTTTCATCTCCTTCATATCCATCTGTACCCAGTAGAATTTCTTGGAGCCCAGAAAACGTTAATTGAAAAGATAAGTCTGCTTAGGAAAACAGCTGTATTTTAAGCAGATGTGGAATTTGGGGAGGAGCCATGTAGACATCTATAATTCTATACATCATGATTATTTTCAGTGACCTGAAACCTGGAGCAGATTCTAAGGGTTAAACAATGTCCATAGTATTACTCTTTAGGACTGTCTTGGTCCCCTACCCAATCACTGTCACACTGCCTTGGCTCTTATAGGCCTAAGTGCATGAGTTGCTTGTTATTTGTCTGGGTTGTTGGTTAATTTTGGAGGCAACCATCTTGTGGGTATGATTTCCTTCCTTTATAAATGACAACACGTGGGTTGCTATGTTTTATGTTTCATTTTACATACTTTGTCCTCCATCTCCCACCAACCCTCTCACCATTTCTGTTTAAAGATATTATTCCTTATATATGTAGATTCTTCCAAAAGATTTACATGCCCATGTGTGCTCATGTGCACATACATACACACGTATACTCACAATACATTTAGGCTTCCGAATATATTCTTTTGTTTTCTTGACTCAATTATTCCATTTATTGACTCAATTATTCCAGGAATCCTGGAAAAACAGAGGGGTGAGGGAGAAAGGATGATTGTGGTTATAAGGTTTAAATGTATTATAGCATTATCAGTTGACAATTGAGGAACTGTGCTCTCAGTGAATTACATGTTTCAACTATGTCATTGGCTCTGGAGACTCAGACAGAGAGTAGTTATCCAGATAAAGAAAGGTCTGAAAACAAACAAGAAATAGGAGTTGCATTTTGGAAGTATTCTCATTCATAAAACTGAGAGATCACATTCATTGCAAAAGGGCATCCACTGGAATGCTGGCTGAGCTTATGATTAGAGCATTCATTCATTTATTTAACAGATATTTAGAGTTTTTTATGTAGTGGGCACTGTCCTAGGTGCTAGAGATACGTTAATAAGCAAAGGCAAGCATGGTTCTTGCTGGTAAATAACAACTGGCTTTACAAAAACAAAAACTATGATTTTTAGTATTTGTTCATTTCTATGATGTAAATGCCCCCACTACAGCCAATTTCAAGCTACCAATGTTCTACAGTGTAGGAAGATATGGATACATTAAGCAAATCTGAGCCAGCATGAGCTGGCTTCAGCACACTTCGGGTCTTTGCTGTCCAAAAGCTTACAGTAAAATTGCGAAGACATACATTTAAAATATTACTTGAATAAAAGTGCAACTTCGAACCATGACAGGGCTGTCAAGAAGGGGAATGTGGCATTGGTAGCCTGCAATAAATGAATATAAACTATTTTGTGAAATTATTGGAAGTATTCACTGGGAAACTGATAGTTAAGTTGAGAGCTGAAGGTGCAAAAGATTTCCTCCTTGAGGAAAGGAGGAGTGTTTCAGATAGAAGTTTTAGCTCATGCAAAGGCTCTGTGGTGGGAGAAAACTTGGTATATTTGAAGAAAACAAAAGAAGGCTTTGTGACTGAACCATGAGAGGAAACGGGGCATGTGCTGAGTTGGAAGTGGTAGGCATGAACCATACTTGACTTATAAGCTTTGAGAAAAATGTGGATCTTTATCCTAAAAGCAGAGGTTATCTATTGAAGACTTTTAAGCCTGAGATTAAAATGATGAAATTGCATTTTGAAAATATCACTCTAGCTACAGCACAGAGGAAAGATTGGAATTGACCTTGATGGAGAGCTGGGAGATGATGAGTAGTCTGTTGCAGCAGTCTATGTAGGAGATGCTCGTAAACTGGCCTAGGGTCTGGAAATAAAAATCGAAGGAAGGGGAAAGATTTCAGAGATATTTATGACTCTAAATTAAGATGAGTTAATAAGGGTTAGTGTCCAATAATATGTTGCCAAGTCTTTCTGACTTTGCACAACTGGCTGGGTAGTGATGCCAGAGAGAACGTTTGGGAACACCATTGTGTGTGTAAACGCATATGTGCACATGTAGGGGAAAAGCCGAAGTTTTGGGCATAAGAGTTCGAATAATCTTTGAGGCATCTAAGTAGATGTGTCAAACATGTTAGATATATAGTACTAGAACTCAAAGTGGAGGTCTGGCCTAGAGTCTGTATTTTGGAGTAATTTTCATGTGAAAGAAAATTGAAGAATTATGTGTCTTTAACCCTGCTCTTCAGGCAGCAGACATCTTTTCAGCACATATCAGATGGCTTAAACTTTCTTTTCTGGAATTCTTTTTCATTTGTATAACAGATAGTAATGCATCTTGGCAACTCAATAAGATTTGGGGAATACTGAGTTTATTTTCTGAGTTATTTTTCTCTAAAGATTTGTATTCACTTAATAGGCAGTATATTAAGTAGAATAGTGTGCACAAACTGTTTAGCATAGTGCCTGGCCTGTAGTCAGAACTCAGACAATGGTAATTGTCATTAGCATCTTCTTCTTTTCTTGATATCTGGATTACAATTACTTAATTTTCATTATCAATAGGATTGCTTTATCAATGTATCAAAAAGAAACTCATGATATTTAGGGGAAAATGTCTAACATATATACTTGAGGGTGTGTCGTGCATGCGTGCGTGTGTGTGTGTGTGGAGAGAAGGCTTGGAAAGGATACATACTAAATTTGAGGAAATTACCTCTGAAAGATGTAGAATTGAAGGGGAGTTAGGCAACAAACAGGGTTTTTTTTAGCTAAAAATTTGTAAAATTTGAATTTTTGTGAGTATGCATTCCTTTTATAACTTTTTTGCAAATGAATTCACATTGTACAAGTTGAATAAACATAGCTCTCACATGATGCGCCAGGAGTGACCAGACACAGTGGATACAAGGCAGTTCTGAGAGGCAGGTACTGCCACGTGTGAATGATTGCAGATAGAATCACTGTGAAATGATTGTTGGATTGTTTCCTGGTAAAGAGTAACTTAAATGGTTGACAGAAGATAAAACAGAATCAAGACACTTGATATGTATCTCAGTTGCTATGTAACAAGCCACCCAATGCAGTAATTGAAAACAATAATATTTCTTTTGCTCACAGGTTTGCAGTTTGCCTAGGGGCACAGTGGGGACATTTTGTCTCTGCTCTATTTGACATCAGATGAAGATGAAATGACCAGAAGGCTAAAGGGTGAAAACATCTTCGGGGCCACTTGTTCATGTGTCTGGTGGTTGGTGTGGGCATGTGGTTGTGGCTCTAGAACATCTACATGTGACCCTTCCAAGTGGCTGTTTGTCTGTATCATAATATGGTGGCTAAGGTCCAAAGGCAGGTATCCCAAGAGAGCCCAGTGGAAGCTGTATCAACTTTATATTTTATTTTTACTTCTTTTTTTTATTTTTATTTTTGGAGACAGAGTCTGGCTCTGTCACCAAGGCTGGAGTGCAGTGGCACGATCTCGGCTTATTGCAACCTCCACTGCCTGGGTGCAAGCAATTCTGCCTCAGCCTCCAGAGTACCTGAGATGACAGGTACATACGACCATGCCAGGATAATATTTTGTGCTTTAGTAGAGACAGGGTTTTACCACATTGCTCCGGCTGATATCAAACTCCTGAGCTCAGACAATCCACCCTCCTTGGCCTCCCAAAGTGCTAGAATTAGAGGTGTGAGCCACTGCACCCTGCCTACTTATCTCTTTAGGGACAATTACTCACTGTGTTGCTCAGGCCAGCCTCAAATTCCTGAGCTCAAGTGATCCTTCTGCCTTAGCCTCCCCAGGAGCTGGGACAAGAAGTACATGCCACCATGCTTGGGTTAGCATCAACTTTTGTGATCTCTTCTTGGAAATTACGCTGCATCATTTCCTCCACATTCTCTCAGTAAAGGTAGTCACAATGCATCACCCAGATTCAAGGAGAGAAGAAACAGATTCTACTTCTTGATGAACAAGTAACAAGTTCTGCAAGAGCATGTAGAATCAGAAATATTAATGTGACCATTTTTGGAAAATGCAAATAGCCAAAATAAGTCCTCCTTTCCAGTGTTATCTGTGCCACAAATTTGCAGTGCAAATATGGAATATTATCCAGATTCTCTCAGTTGCCACAGCTGAATGTGAGAATTGCAACTCTACTCCAAAACCACCTTCACGCATTGTGAGAGCTGTATTTTTACATAGTAAGCCAAATAATTTTAGTGATGGAGTACTATCTTTCTCTTGCCTAGCACAGCTATGATTTTTAAATTAATTTCCCAGTGCACTGTCAAATCTATTTTAACCTAAAAGGCAAATTGACACATTCCAGGCATGGTGTGTGACCCAGGAAGCTTGGTCTGACCCAGTAAGCCATAGGTTTGTATTATTATTATTATTTTTTTTTTCCTAAGCTTACTCTTCAAAGGCGAACAAAGATAAAGCACAGAAAGGAAACTCATGAAAATGAATGTTTGCAATGGAATTTCAAATTGTTCTCTTAAATGCACATTAGTGTCCTTCCTGTGTACCAGCTATACTTTGTACAGGTTGTGTGGAACTTACTGTGTTGTCTGAAAGTCGGATTCATTTCTCATATTATTTATTTATTAGAATTTGAGTCAACTCATTCATCTGTATCCCCGATGTCTTTGGTTCCAACGAGGGCATGTGTGCTAGACCATTATTAACAGGAGACTAATCACCCTGTATTTACTGATTAACCATAGAGTAGTGCTTAGAGACTGTCAGAAAACAGCCAGTTAATGGAGTCCACTAGATTAGAATTTCCTTTATGTTGTAGTGTGAATTGTTAGCCCAAGATGAGCTGTAAATTACATTGGCAGGGTTTCTACTTTTTAAGAACACTATTATGGTAAATTTTTATTTCTTTGGACATGCACATGTTTTTTCCTGTTTGCCTTAAGAAGTTAAGGTCATTATGTAGCATAAATATTAAAAATTAAGCTCTTTTGATATTGACATGTAAAACAAAACAAAATGAAAAACTCCTACTTTAATACTGTCTTTTAACATGAGAAAAACAGGTTTTATACATGATTAGATTAATCAGTTAAATTGAATTTTAACAAAGTTTTGCCCCCAAATGTTTTCTTGTTTTTTCTTTGTTTGTTTTCTTATTTAGACTGAAGACAAACATGAAACATTTATCTTAAGATAAGTCCACTTTTTATTCTTCAGAAATTTGTCAGACTTGAAACTTTTAGCTGCCCTTCTCCCATAATTATGATGCCAAAATAGCAAAGTGAATGAACCAGCAGTCTGTGTCTTCCCTGATATTAACAACAAATATGGAATCCAAATATTGTGTGCCTGAATGTGTATATTCATTTATACTTGTAATGTCCACACCTCAGACATTTATTATGAAAATCGTCAGTTAAGATAGTCAACCTAGCGGTTTGCCAGCTCACCTAGGGGAGCTTTTATAAAGTATGGATTCTCGAGCCCTACACCCTAAAAATGTTGTTCACAGGCTGAATATGTGACTTAGGAAATCTATATTCTTCAAATATAGAATATTATGCTTCTTAGTTATCAGTCCAGTGTGGGAACAACTGAACTAGAACATTTGCTAACCCTTGACATAATTTTGGTGGTGTAAGATATTCTGCATTGATAGAAATTTGTATATCCCAGGACAAAGTGATATTATGTTTGAATTTCTCTCCTTGTTACAGTTTACAATAGGGATGCAGGATAACACTATACTGTTATATATTGACTCACTTTATAGTAGAAGCACAGCTTTATCTTAAAAATAGGGAAAGGAATTCTAGTTCATAAATCTTCTCATTTCCCTCTTTAGTTTAGTGCATTTTGTTTTGTTTTGGTTTGTTTGTTTTTGAGATGGAGTCTCGCTCTGTCACCCCGGCTGGAGTGCAGTGGTGCAATCTCAGCTCACTACAATCTCCACCTCTGGGGTTCAATCGTCCTGCCTCAGCTTTCCAAGTAGCTTGGACTACAGGCGCCTGCTACCACACCTGGCTAATTTTTTGTACTCTTAGTAAAGATGAGATTTCGCTATGCTGGCCAGGCTGGTCTCAAACTCCTGACCTCATGATCCGTCTGCCTTGGCCTCCCAAAGTCCTGGGATTATAGGTGTGAGCCATTGCACCCAGCCTACTTCTGTGTTTTGACTAAAATATATTTTATATATAAATATGTTATATATAGTAATAATCGTGATTATTATCATTATTTGGTCATAATATTTCTTTTAGATTGCCAAAGTACCTCTCACTGAAACTCGTGGAATAAATAAACAACTACAAATATTTCATTATGGTTAGAGGCAATGAGTGAGGCACACTTCACAAAATTGGAAATTGTAGTATGGAGCCACAAAAAATAAATAAGATTTCCACCAGTAGAGGAGTAGAGAAAAGATATTTTCAGGTAGGACACAGAAAAAACAAAGGCACAGGGCTTGAAGTTTCACAGTACATTCAGAGTTGGATAAGTAGCTCAGCATAGCCAGGCTCCAATATATATGGGAGCCATCATGGCTTGAAATATTCAATCTTCTTCGCAAACACCACATGATTATCTCAATAGATGCAGAGAAGGCCTTCAACAAAATTCAATAGCTTTTTATGCTAAAAACTCTCAATAAACTAGGTATCTGCAGAACATATCTCAAAATAATAAAAGCTATTTATGACAAACCCACGGTCAATATCATACTGAGTGGGCAAAAACTGGAATTATTCCCTTTGAAATCTGACACTAGACAAGGATGCCCTCTCTCACCACTCCTATTCAATATAGTATTGGAAGTTCTGGCCAGAGCAATCAGGCAAAAATTGAAATAAAGGGTATTCAATTAGGAAAGGAGGAAGTCAAATTTTGTCTCTATTTGCAGATGACGTGATTGTATATTTAGAAGACCCCATCATCTCAGCCCAAAATCTCCTGAAACTGATAAGCAACTTCAGCAAAGTCTCAGGATGCAAAATCAATGTGCAGAAATCACAAGCATTCCTACACACCAATAACAGACTAAAAGAGAACCAAATCAAGAGCCAGCTGCCATTCACAATTACTACAAAGAGAATAAAATACCTACAACTATAACTAACAAAGGAGGTAAAGGACCTCTTCAAGGAAAACTACAAACCACTGCTCAAAGAAATAAGAGAGGACACAGATTGAAAAACACTGCATGCTGATGGTTAGGAAGAATCAATGTTGTGAAAATGGCCATACTGCCCAAAGTAATTTATAGATTCAACACTATCCCCATCAAGCTACCTATGACCCTCTTCACAGAACTGGAAAAAACCACCTTAAACTTCATATGGAACCAAAAGAGAGCTCACCCAGCCAAGACAATCCTAAGCAAAAAGAACAAAGCTGGAGGCATCACGCTACCTGACTTCAAACTATCCTACAAGGCTACAGCAATCAAAACAGCATGGTACTGGTACCAAAAAAGAGATGCAGACCAATGGAACAGAACAGAGGCCTCGGAGGCAATGCCACACATCTACAACCATCTGATCTTTGACAAAGCTGACACAAACAAGCAATGGGAAAAGGATTCCCTGTTTAAGGAATACTGGCTATTCATGTGCAGAAAGCAGAAACTGGACCCCTTCCTGACACTTTACACTAAAATGAACTCCAGATGGATTAAAGACTTAAACATAAGACCTAACATCATGAAAACCCTAGAAGAAAATCTAGGCAAAACCATTCAGGACATAGGCATAGGCAAGAACTTTATGACTAAAACACCAAAAGCATTGGCAACAAAAGCCAAAATAGACAAATGGGATGTAATTAAATTCCAGAGCTTCTTCTGTACAGCAAAAGAAACAATCACTAGAGTGAACCAGCAACCAACAGAGTGGGAAAATATTTTTGCAATCTACCCATCTGTTAAAGGACTTATATCCAGAATTTGCAAAGAACTAAAACAGCTTTACAAGAAACAAACAACCCATTCAAAAGCGGGTGAAGGACATGAACAGACACTTTACAAAAGAAGACATACATGAGGCCAACAAACATGAAAAAATGCTCATCATCACTGGTCATTAGAGAAATGCAAATCAAAACTACATTGAGATACCATCTCACACCACTTAGAATGGCGATCATTAAAAAATCTGGAGACAACAGATGCTGGAGAGGATGCAGAGAAATAGGAACACCTTTACACTGTTGGTGGGAGTGTACATTAGTTCAACCATTGTGGAAGACAGTGTGGTGATTCCTCAAGGACCTAGAAATAGAAATTCCATTTGACCCAGCAATCCCATTACTGGGTATATATCCAAAGGATTATAAGTCTTTCTGTTATAAAGACACATACACATCAATGTTCATTGTGGCACTGTTTACAATAGCAAAGACCTGGAACCAACCAAATGCCCATCAATGATAGACTGGACAAGGAAAATGTGGCACATATATACCATGGAATATTATGTAGCCATAAAAAACGATGAGTTCATGTCCTTTGTAGGGACATGGATGAATCTAGAAACCATCATTCTCAGCAAACTGACACAAGAACAGAAAATCAAACACCACATGTTCTCACTCATAGGTGGATGTTGAACAATGAGAACACACAGACACAGGGAAGGGAGCATCACACACTGGGGTCTGTTGAGGGGAAATGGGGAGGGACAGCTTGGGGTAGGGAGGTTGGGGAGGGATAACATGGGGATAAATGCCAGAAATAGGTGATGGGAACATTGCCGTGTATGTACCTATGCAACAATCCTGCATGTTCTGCATAAGTACCCCAGAATCTAAAGCACAATTGCAATAAAAAATGAAATATATATATGTATATATACTGAAGATTTCTTTTGTGTGTGTGTATGTATATACATATACATATATACATATATATATACAAAAGAAATATTCAGTATTCAATGACAGGAGTAAAGAATTCAGTCTTGATTCTAGGGCCAATTATCTGGAGTGGCTTTTTGAAGAAATGTGTTAAGATAGATTCTGAGGCTGCATCTGGCTCTGCGGTTGATTAGGGCTTAGCCGTGGACATAAGATTGGGCAGCAGAGTATCACTGCCATACATTTTGTAACCCTCCACTACACGATGTAAATTTTATATATGTATTCTTGATGTTAGTGATTTCTTTCACACCTTCTTTTAACTCGGTAATCAAATGTTTCTGTCCTGCTTTTGATTCTCATTGTGATATCTTGGATTGTATATTGAGATCTTTGAGGGATTCATGAAATGCTGAACCTTTCACAAGGCTGTTTTGCTATTGGCTGTTATTTCAATCCTGTTGGTAAGCACTGTGGCAGGACTCGGCTGGAAACTAGCAAAGTGGTAAAAACCAGGTGAAATACAATGCAGTGTTCACTTCTGCGTTTCTGAATCAGTGATCAAGTCAAAGGGATGACTGATTAATAGTTAATTTGATTTGCTGCATGTATGAATTTTCATTTGAAAGCTGATGGGGCACAGACATATTTTTCTCCAGAAGAAAAAGTGCTGAAGTAGAAATTAAACCCCACTTCAGCTTTTACCAAGAAAGCTCACACCGATTATTCAAGCACCCACATTATATATATATATATGTATTGATTGGTCTGTTAACTTTTAAATTTATTAGTTTGGAAACAAATCTGAATACTCTATAAATGCTTTAAAGAAATTTTAAAATGCATTTTATCTCCTAAAAACATGCAATTATGTGAAACTTCCTTTTGTTGTTCCCACTATTTTTTAGTTATATCTAGAAATATCATCTGGACAAAATATGTAGGCACTTTATAAATATCATTTGATAATTTTCTGTTTAATTAGCATATTTTTTCAGTTTTAAGGCTTTCTTAGTGGGACATGTTAGCAGTCTGAAATCAGGATGTGTACATTGTAATTTCAGTGAACATTTCATTGAGTGTTTCCTGTCTGTTTCATCTCCCACTTCCTCACCTCCACCTCCCATCCTCACCCCCAGTACCAAAAGGCCATTATTGAATCTATGTTGCTTCTTGGGCATTTTAGAATTGATGATATGTGCAAAGTGCATGCTTAAATGATAGATGGCTCTCATTGACTTGGCAAAAATGAGGGAGTGAGAATATTGTCTGACCAAATAAGGCAGAACAAGAATTCCTTTGATTTCCAAACCATTGTCTCCCCCATCCTCTTTATTTTGAATGTGGCTCTGTGTATGCCTGACAAGTGTGAGTTTGAGAAGACTTCTGCACTGTCTAAAGGAGCAAAAAAAACCGTATCAGGTACCTTAAAATTATCTCTAATATTTTAAAGTTATTTTAGTAAGCTGATGAGGTCAATTAGTTATTGGTACTAGAGGGAACACTTTTCCTTTTGTCTAGAGATTAGGTTAAAACTTAGAATCCTAAAATGTTAAATTAAAGGGTTTTTTTTTTTGACAGAGTCTGGCTCTGTCACCCAGGCTGGAGTACAGTGGCACGGTCTTTGCTCACTGCAACTTCCACCTCCTGCGTTCAAGCGATTTTCCTGTCTCAGCCTCCCAAGTAGCTGGTACTACAAGCACGTGCCACCATGCCCGGCTAATTTTTTTTTGTTTTGTTTTGTTTTTTGTATTTTTAGTAGAGACAGTGTCTTCCCGTGTTAGCCAGGATGGTCTCCATCTCCTGACCTGGTGATTCACCAGCCTCAGCTTCCCAAAGTGCTGGGATTACAAGTGTGAGCCCCTGCACTCGGCCTAAAGAGAGAATTTTAAATGTTGTCCATCCAGGCAACATTTTTGTTTTGTTTTGTTTTTTGAGACGAAGTTTCGCTCTTGTTACCCAGGCTGGAGTGCAATGGCGCGATCTCGGCTCACCGCAACCTCCGCCTCCTGGGTTCAGGCAATTCTCCTGCCTCAGCCTCCAGAGTAGCTGGGATTACAGGCACGCACCACCGTGCCCAGCTAATTTTTTGTATTTTTAGTAGAGACAGGGTTTCACCATGTTGACCAGGATGGTCTCGATCTCTCGACCTCATGATCCACCCGCCTCGGCCTCCCAAAGTGCTGGGATTACAGGCTTGAGCCACCGCGCCCGGCCCAAAGTTTGGATAAGGAATCTTGCCCTCTAGGAACCTTCTTCTAGCTTTGGGTTCACAGTTCTGTTTGATAATTCCTCAGCCCAATGAGGAATTATGAGATTATGAGAAGTTCTTAGACTCCCTACCCATTACTTTTTTTTTTTTTTTTTTGAGACGGAGTTTCACTCTTGTTACCCAGGCTGGAGTGCAATGGCGCGATCTCGGCTCACCGAAAACTCCGCCTCCTGGGTTCAGGCAATTCTCCAGCCTCAGCCTCCCGAGTAGTTGGGATTACAGGCGTGCGCCACCATGCCCAGCTAATTTTTTGTATTTTTAGTAGAGATGGGGTTTCACCATGGTGACCAGGATGGTCCTGATCTCTTGACCTCATGATCCACCCGCCTTGGCCTCCCAAAGTGCTGGGATTACAGGCTTGAGCCACCGCGCCGGGCCCTACCCATTACTTTTGACCTAAAAATACCAGCATTTAATCCAATTGAAATTTTCTGGTTGCTATAAATGAATTAAATTGCTTATTCCTCAGCAAAATGTTCAAACCTCAGTTGTGCCACCTCTTAGCTTTGCTGGTCACATTACTTAATGTCTCTGAGCCTTAGTCACTTATTCAAGTCATTCAAAAATGATTGTTGTAAATGAAATGTTCCAGCATAAGCCTAGATGCTGAGTATACATTGCTAAACAACACAGATATAGTTCCTGCTCTTAAAGAGCTCTGCTCATGAGAATTCATGAGAATGAGTTGCCAATTACAAAGCAGAAGATAAGTTCTGTGATAAAGATAACTTCAGCTTGGAAATGGGGGCACATGGTGCAGGCAGGCCTTTCAGAGAGATTACATTAAAGCTGAGATATGAAGGATGTTAGTAGTAAGGCAGTTAAGAGGAATTAGGAGTGCTTTTATTTCCTCCACTGTAAAATGGGACACACCTTCCTTATTGGGTCATAGTAAGAAACAGAGACAATAAATATAATGCATCAGGAATGTACCTGATAATTCAGTGTAGGGCCAGAAAACACATATTAAATGTATACTACTATACGCGATTGGGTTGAAAAATGAGTAGGATGCTGGACCCATCCTCCTGGGTCCTGGAGGCCAGAAGTAGAGCTCTAGCTCCCTATATTGTCTCTGCTGCTCTTACCCAGTCTATTGTACTTGCCTATTTACATGTCTGAACTTGGAGTCTACCAGCTTAGTGAGGCCAGGAATGCTTCTCTCTTGCTCACTGCTGCACTCTTTATGCTCCCAGTTTCCTGGTGCCTGTGGACTTTTATTCATCTCATCTCTTGCAGCAGATGTGGCCACCTCCATTTTCCCTTTCCTTTCCAGATCACACCTGCCCGGCATTCAATTTCCAGTGCCTACATTTATCTGTCTGAAAGTTTTCTCTGGCTGTTGAGGCCCATTCAGCTCATGCAAGAGGAAGGGAGGCAGGAAATGTGAGGGAATGAAGCCTGCTCCAGATTCTTTTAACAGTGTCAGATAACAGGTGGTAGAGAAGTACACCAGCTCCCTAGCCCCTGGGCGAGACAGCTCCAAGGTGTGTGTTCTACACTGACTCCCAGAATCTCCCCAGTAGTATTTAATTCTAGTCACTCATAGCAGAAACTTGATCAATAATTTTTTTTCCATTGACTGTTTTCTCTTTTGTCTTACTTCCCCCACTTCCTTACCAGTGATTCCTGGGATTCCCCCTCCGCCATTTATACTTTAATCCTTGTCTTAGGGTCTGTTCGAAATAAAATGTCCCATAAGCATCTAAATCCCTGTCCTATTTTTAGGGAATGTCACCACCTATAAAGAGCCCATCTCCCATGATTGGAACTGAAAACGTCAGATACACTTGCATCTCCAGCTGTCCTTGCAGCCAGGGTTAGGCACTTAGCTTGCACTTTGCCAATCAGGCACACCAACCCCAGTCTCTAAACTGGAAGCTAGTCATGAAGAGGTAGGAAATGTCCAGAATTGATTCTGTTGACAGACGGTGGAAGATACAACAATCTGAATGGTAGCTTTCAAAATCCAGTGTTGGTGACATGTGGTGCACCCGAAGACATGGAGCATGGCAATAATGGTGGCTTCGCCAGAGCACTTCTACTTTGAGATTTTTGAGCACTGCCCCTTCCCTTGTGGTCTCCCAGCCTGGTTCTTGATTCTCTCAGATTCTTTGAGCTCTCCAATATCTTTACAATATATTTATTTCCTGCCAAAATGTCAAAGTTTGTTTCTGTAACTTGTCACTCAGAATGCTATCTGTTTGTATCCATCAAGATCCAGCTGGGAAAATAACCTCCTAGGTCATTCAAACAGATTGGATTTAATGCAGATACATGGTTAAAAGGGTGGTAGAGAAGCTGGAAAGCCCTGCAAGGAGCAAGGAGGCAGCCCGGCAATTAGTAGCAGCTGGAAGCTGCTATCACCCTTCGGGCTGTGGGACAGTGAAGAAAGAGCTTGCTGTTTAACAGGACGTAGAACCACAGTAGGGGTTGAAATAGGCCTGTAAGTCAAAAGGTTGTTGACATGTACATGTAATAGAAACTCAAATACTTTTTGGCTAAATGAATAAAGGGATTAATCAGGGAGAAGGCTGAGACCAGAACTGCATATTATACCAATTCTAAAAGGTTAGGGGAATAAGAAGATTCTCTCTAAAAAGAAGCAATCCTAGGAGGAAAACAGGCAAAGATAGTGTGTCCTGGAAACCATAGCTCTGAAATAATCAAATCTGCCAGACTCTTAACTGAATTTCTACCAAACAGACCTCCGAATTCTTCACTGAGTCCAGAGGACTCAGAGTGCTTATCCATAAGCTCTGGGCATCATAGCTTCTACTCCAGGCTATTCCCTTGGTAACTTGTGTTATTAAGGGGGATAACAGTGCTTGCCAGTTTTACTTGGGCAAGATGAGAAGCAATGAATAAGGAAGATTTTAGAATACTTGGCAAAAGAGAGAAATGTGTCACAACAAGCATCTTAATTAATAAACTAGAGATAAGCACATTTACTCTCAGTTTTAATTTATGGACTATCCTATATGGCTTACATGAATTAAAGGAATGTATTACCTCTGTTAGTGACAGCGCTGCCTTACTGCATAAAAGAAAGCAAAAGTCTGTTGAAGTTTATGGGAAGAAACATAGTCAAAAGGTAAGAGCATAGGTTTTTCTTCTTTCTTTCTTCACTTATTTATACCTCTTTTAGTAATTATTTTAGTAAGTATGTATATATATGTCAAAATCATATACATTCATGATGTATAACATGATGTTTTGAAATATGTGTAAATTAAGTTAATTAACATATGCATTATCTCATACTTTTTTGTATGTGGTGAGAATATCATCTAGTCTCAGCCATTTTCAAGTATATAATACATTGTTATTAACAATAGTTACCATGTTATTCAATAGATTTCTTGAACTTATTTCTCCTAAGTAAAATTTTATAACCTTTGGTCAATATCTCCCCTCTCACCCTTTCCCCAGCCCCCGGTGCCCACCATCTACTCTTTGCTTTTATGGGTTTCAATTTTTTAGATTCCACGCATAGGTGAGATGGTGCCTTGTCTTTCTGTGACTGGTTTATTTCACTTAGTATAGTGTCTGTGAGTTTCATGCATGTTGTTACAAATTACGGAATTTCTTATTTTAAGGCTGTATAGTATTATGTTGTGTATATAGACCATGTTTCTTTATTGCCTCATGCACTGATGGATGCTTAAGTTAGTTCCGTCGCCTGGCTACTGTGAAGAAAGCTTCCATGAACACTGGAATGCAGATATGGGGAAAAGTATAGATTAGACACTCAGACCTCATTTTAATCTCAGCTCTGCTGCACATTAGCCTTGTGATTTTAAATGTATTTCACAGTGAGTTTCAGCTTATATTTAAAATGCATATTATAATAATAATTCCTGGCTTAGAATTATGATAATTTTTATGATTGTGTGGGCAAGGCTTCTCCCACGATGCCCACACAGAATGGGCACTTCATAAATATTTGTTCCCTTCCTCTATCTCTCCCCTTCCCCTGCCCCTTCTTTTTTTTTTTTTTAAACCATTGCTATAAACTAGGGGACAAAGTGAGAAAGTAAACCAAAATGGTTTTTTTTAAGGGAAAAATAGGGTAGCATGAATTGGTTTTATAGAGAAATGCTTAAAGGATTGAAACCCCAAACACCATTCTCCCACTCATTATTGAAAGCACCAAAATCCATGGGAATTATAAATCCAGAGCCATTTGGCTCAGAATTTTACATGTTAAAAAAATTCATCTGCACTTATTTTGCTTCTTACAAAATTATCACTTCCCATAGCTGCCTTAAAATGTCTACTTGCTTATATTGTGTGTGAGATTTCATGCTTAGGTGGTGTCTTGGTGTTTCTGTGACCCAAGCAAGGAGTTCCTGTCACTGTGTCACACTGTTTCTTCCTGACACAGCTGGAAATACGATCGCCTCAAGGCCTGTCACAAAGGACTGGGCCTTTGCTACAGGTCAGCAATAGCAAGGAGTGTTGCCAAGATACAACACAAAACAAGACCTTTAGGTCTCCCTCTGGGTTTCTAGAACAGCTGTCTCTAGCTCAGCTGTTGAAGTTTCAGCTCCTTCATTGAAATCCAAACACATCTGTCCCCCAGACAGGAAAATACCTAATAAATTGTTTTCCTCCATGCTGGCTCATCTTGTGGTTTTATGTGGCTCTTAAAGGCAGTGTGAGGGCTGAGGACCTCAGCAGGGCCTGCCCAAGGACAGAGGCACACCCGGTGATAGGTCACTAATGTAGAAAAGTGTCATGACCCCTGGATGTCACAACCCTTAGGCTGTTCACAGATTGGCGTGGCTTTAACACATCATGTAGAGCTCTGGCAAATTCAGGCCTCACTTAAATGTTATCCTTATGCAGCCAACCTGCATGCCTTCTCTTTCGTTTTTTTAATTATTATTTAGCTGAATCCTTTTTTGTTCATTTAATTTCAGAGCACCACAGGGATATTTACCCCCTTATTAATACGTCAGTTATCTGTGTTTAAATGTCAAGTTTTAGTATTGTGACTTGCTGTTTTAGGAAATATTATTTCAAACCAAAATGTAATCTTTTTTTTTTTTTTTTTTTTAAAAGAGATTATAGTGTCAAGCCAAACTTAACTTAGGTTCTAGGCAGAAGAGGTAAAAGCAACAAGTTTTCCCTCCTTCATAATTAGGTTATCCCTGCAGGTTCCTTTTCCAGACAGGAAAACCCCTTCCAGGGTAATGGAGACCCATGTTATGGGTTGGTGAAATAGAAAGTTCTTCCCTTCCTGAGAATGTTCCCTGGCAGTGCAGACTCCATGGTGGGTGCTTCCACCATGCCCTGTAGTCTTGAGACCTCTCTTAGAACCTGGTGCTCTAGAATCACTGCAGAAGCACTAGGTTCTCCTATACTCCCTCCTTCTTTCCTTCCTTCCTTCCTTCCTTCCTTCCTTCCTTCCTTCCTTCCTTCCTTCCTTCCTTCTTTATTAATACTAACCAAATGGCCATAGTTAACCAAGTCCTGTTCCTTGAGGATTACTTCAGATGTGTTTAGCCATTTATTTTAATATCTAATTTCATATTCTAAATAGAATACTACCTCTACACGCTTCTAGTATGGTAGATAACAACTTCTCCCTTAAATCCTTTTGGCCTTCCTTTATCCTTCCAGTTTATTACATCACGATTTTCAGGGTTTGTATTATTGTGACAATGGAAATGTTTTCTGTTGAGCCGAGGAGCATACTATCATTACAACTCCTTTCTTGTTCAATTGTCATTTTTCCTAGAGCTGATAATTTACTCATTAAAAAAAAAAAATGACCTGGTTTTCTCTGTACATGTTATTGTCTTTGCTTCCCCTAATATCCGACAATATTCAAGACACTGTTTTCAGCACAGTATCAGTTCCACAATTAATTTTTTTATAATAACTTTATAAGATAGGTAACTATAGTCTGTGTACAGATGGGACGCATGAAGCACAGAGAAATTAATTGGCTCACATAAGATGGTAACTGGCAGAGCCAGGACTCAAACCTGGGCAGTCTGGCTCCTGCACTCATGTTCCCAAGCATAAGACATATAGCACCTGGATGCATAACTACCTACACTAGCAGCTGTACCAGCTAATCCAATTAGTTGAATTTTTTTTTAACAGAGCTCTTCCTCCTCCATATGCCTCTGGACTCTTGTTGCATCTGTATTGCTTGTTTTCTAATCCTAAGTAGAGTTGTCAAATTCAGACTTATTTTCATTATTTTCCAGGGAATTTCTTTCATCTTCCTCCTGTGTTGATTCCTTATTTTCTGGATATCATATTGTCTTTCTTGCGTTAGGTAAAGCTCATCTTTTAGAAGACTTCTTGAGAAAAGGTGTGCGGGTGGTCAAGATTCCTTCCATCTTAAATGGCAGAAAGCATTTGTATTTTTCCTTGCTGGTACTGGGTATTTACTGCCATTTTATTTTTGATTATGTATACGTGACCTATTGTTTCCTTTCTTGAAAGTTTTACTGTCTTCCTGGTGTACTGAAATTTTACAACAGAGCTGGGTCTTTTTGCATTTATTGTGCTAGATGCTGAATAGGCCTTTTCAATATAGGAACTCATGTTCTTCAGGTCCAACATTTTTTCCTTAATCTTTCTTTTGATATATTTTTTTTCTAGATCTGATTGGTAGAATGTTGCGCCTGCTGCAGTGAGCTTTTAGTTTCTTCTGTTTTGCCTTCTATTTTTTTCTTAATATTTTGAGATATTTTCTTACCTTTATTTTCCAAATCTTACATACACATGCACACAGTTTTAGTTATCATAATATTTAAATTTCTAAGAACATTTTGTTTTTTAATAATTACCTCCACTTATATCCTCTTTTTCCTACTAGCTTCCTGACTTTAAAGATAAATAGCTTATCTTGTATCTATCTCCAAGGTCATTAAATATAGTTTAATTAAAGTTTCCTTCTTTTAGTATATTGCCTCTGTTTCTTTTGAGTTTCCTTTCTTCCTTCCTTCTGCTTTCGTGTGTTTATCTTTTGTGCTGGACGCTTTCTTAAAATGTCAGATCATTCTTGGCTATCTATTCATATTTTAAAAGTTAGATATAAAAAAAAAATGCCCATAGGAAGTTCTGTGCAGTGGGACTTGGTTTGTGGCCTGTGAGGTACACTGTGGAATAATTGGTTGAATTGGCTTTTTAATTTTGGGATCCCTATAGGTCAGTACCGATAGGCCTTCATTATTAGAAACAAGCTACAAAAAGTAAAAACAAAAAAATTAAACTGCCATGGACAACCTATGTCTATGAGGTAAAAGTGGATAGCCTTTGGGTGTGTACACTAAACTTATTGAGTGATACCTACATACTGCCTTCCATGATGAATAATAACTTTCACCTGGAGTTTAAAAACCGCTAGAATCACTAAAAGGACCTGCTATTTTCTATATGCCGTGATCATTTTTTGCTCTGTTTTTTTTTTTTTTTTTTTTTTTTCAATCTGACTGCTCTGCTGTTTGACAAAGAATGTTACCACATGCCAAACACAAGGTTTGGGAAAGTTCCTCATATTCCTATGTGGCATATCTCTGCTCCTGGGCATGGGGTAAGCAGGCATTTGGTGACCTCTCTGCTTATGTTGCCTGGTACCCTGAGGCTCTGGCAGAATTACTGTGAGGCCGTTCACCTTGGCTCAGCCTGAAATCTACTCTGACAGATTTATTGGCTCTTAAACATTTATTCAAGCAGAATGTCTAAACCAATATAAGGTTTCATTCATTTGCCCTGCAGGGAGAGAAAGAGAGATGAAAACTGTGAGGGGTGAAACTCCACAGAGATGTAACTCCACCCCAACCCCACCCTTGCATATTTACCAAGAAATGAAATTATCATTTCCTTCCTGTTTTACCTCTCTTTTCTATCAGAGCTTTTCTCAGTCTATTGGTATGTGAAAAGTACACTGAGGAAAGGAAATTAACAAGATCAATCAATAACCGCTTACTCCTTTATAGCATATTTGTTTTGTAAGGGAAAATATTGAATAAGATATGTAAGAAAATTGCAATCTTCTCTAGATTTTCTAGGAATTGGGATGGAGAAAATGGTTTGAATTTAAATAAAATTGAATTTAGAGCAATAAGGAAAACCATGTAATGAAAACCAGTGCTAATATTATCTATATTTTATTGATGAAAAAATATAGCTTAGAGAGGTTAAATGACTAGGCACAATTTACTCAGATGGTAAGTGTTGAAGTTATAGCCCAGTCTCAGGTTTCAGTTCCAAAGGTCATGTACTTCTATTGAATGAGTCAGTAGTCTACAAACCTGACTGACACAGCTTTCTAGCTCTACCTGCTTAGAGCATTGACGTGCTTCTGTGTGCTGAGACACATAGAACTGCTGGATAAAACAAAACTATTTTGCATACAAAGCCGATAGAGAGACAGGTAAACAGAAAGAAGAGAGGAAATGTCCATGTTCCACAGATAACGAAGAACCTTATAGCCAGCATGGTAAATGCATGAGCTGATGCCAGAACAGTGAAGAGGGTATTAGACCTGGCCATAGGACCTAACAGCTACGGGTTGGGCTTTAACACACATATAGAATAAACGACTTAACCTTGGGCCTGTGAAAGGTGAGAACTTAGAACTGAAGACCTGCTCGCCTCATTCAAGGGGACTACAAAACAGATTGTTCATGTGCTAGAAAGCAACTGGTAAAATTCTCACTGATTAGATATCTGGATGAGAAAAAGTTTCTCATAGTAAATAGAAATTTAAAAAACTGTGCTGGCTGGGAATGGTGGCTCATGCCTGTAATCTCAGAGCTTTGAGAGGCCAATATAGGGGAATCACTTGAGGCCAGGAATTTGAGACCAGCCTGGGCAGCATAGCAAGATCTCATCTTTACAGAAATCTCAGAGTTTAGGATGAGTTCATGTCCTTTGCAGGGACATGGATGAAGCTGGAGACCATCATTCTCAGCAAACTAACATAAGAACCAAAAACCAAACACTACATGTTCTCACTCATAAGTGGGAGTTGAACAATGAGAACATGTGGACACAGGGAGGGGAACATCACACACCAGGGCCTGTCAGGCAGTGGTGGGCTAGGGGAGGGATGGCATTAGGAGAAATACCTAATGTAGATGATCAATTGATGGGTGCAGCAAACCACAATGGCTCATGTATACCTATGTAACCTACATGTTCTGCACATGTACCCCAGAACTTAAAGTATAAAAAAACTCAGAGCTCTGAGAGGCCAAAGTGGGAGGATAGCTTGAAGCAAGAAATTCAAGACCAGCCTGGGGGACAGAGCAAGACCCCATCTTTACAAAATATAAAAATTAAAAAATGAATTGGTCATGGTGGTGCACCTATAGTCTTAGCGACTTGGGAGGCTAAGGCGGGAGGATGGCTTGAACCAAGGAGTTCAAGGCCGTAGTCTTCTATGATTGAGCCACTGCACTACAGCCTGGGTGATAGAGCAAGACTCTGTTTCTGAAAACAAATCTGTGCTGTGCATAGTTATAGAATCCAAATTTTACTCTATTTGCATAGTATAGGAATCTCAAATGGATATATTAATGTAGATGTCATAAATACTTCAGGCTAGTGTAACTCCTGGAGTTTCCAGAGGAATCAAATGTAAAACTTGTCTAAAATGTTACTACCACATCTTAAGGTACACAGGAATGCCACAGGGAAGAAATATTCTAGCTGAAAATATATTCACAATGAAAAAGTACAAACCAAATAAAGAGTTCAAATATGGAAGAGTCAGCAGACACATATGAGAGAAATAGCACCCTAAGAACATGAGATAATGTAACAATCTAAAACTGTCTAGAAATTAAGAATATTTATACTCTTTAAAGAGATAGAGAGGAATAAAAACTCTCATGAAAACACAGGACATTAAAAAAGAATGGGAACATCTGAAAAACAACCAAATAGAATAATTCAAGATAGAAGAATCATAAAATTAAACATAGTGGCCAACTTTAAGAGCATATTGGGCATGGTTGAAGAGAGAGTTAGTGATGTGAAAGCTGTATCTGAGGAGATTACCCAAAGTGCTGCAGAGAAAGATAAAGAGGGCTACAATCCAAAAGAGAAATTAAAGGATATGGAAGATTAAATTAAAGTTACAACTTAGGTCTAATGGAAGTTTCAAAAGGAGAAAATGGAGAAGGTGCAATATTTTAAGTGAAAATGGCTGTGAATTTTCTAGAACTTATAAAAGGCAGAAGCAGATTGAATTTTCCAGAACTTATAAAAGGCAGAAGCAGTCTCAGATTGAAGAAGCACACCAACTCCTGTGCATCATATAAAATCTACAGCTAGATGCATCATTTGAAGTGCAGAACACTGAAGACAAGGGAATTCTAGTGGAAGATCAAGTGGAGAGAAAAGACAGTATATGAAGAGAAAATTATTAGAATAACAGAGGACATCAGCCTAATAGCGACCAGAAGGCAAGTCTGACCAGTTATCTGAAACTCCTGAAAAGTACATTAAAATACAATATTATGGTTCTACTTCATACTCCAAGGTAGGTTCAGAAATACACATATTAAAAAAAGCTTCTTGGATCATCAAGTAGTTTTAAAAACTCTTTTATTCCTTAACACCATATACATAAGCAGACGTATATGTATGTATACTCACACACACTGATCTCAAGGCTTTAATTTACTTCACAGCCTCCCCCACTAAAAAAATGAAGGAATTAAAATAATCACCAAGGATCATTTTTAAAGTGTATTTTCCCCCAATAATTTCTAGAGGAGCTATGCTATATGGTGCCAGAAGCTTATCCAAAAAGAACAAGGAAAAGGCATACAAACATCTTTGACCTCACAGTTCCATTTCTGCCTCCATCTTCACTAACATATGCATGATTTGGATTGAAGGACATGTTGTTCCAGCTAATAATTTCAGAATCCTATGTGTTTGTGTGACAAGATGAATGAATGATCCCATGCTTGTGGAACCTTTGGCAAGATATGCTTCCTATATTTCATATTGAATATAAAAGGACACTTGACCTGCCAGTACCAGAATTTAGTCTACTTTGCCTTCATACACATCTGTTCTCAGATTAATGGTGGTTTATGTAATTGCTATAATAAAGGATAATTTTATATTAAAGTAATACTGGCTACAATTAGAACATTTATAATAGTCATGCTTTTTGAACTAGTAGCAATACCTCCAGGAATTTATCTTAAATATCCAAAACATATACATACAAAACCCCTTTATCCTCAAATATGTTCATTCCAGTATGAATATGATAGGAAAAACTCCGGAAGCCTCTAGAAAAGTTGGAAGGCAATAAGATCTTGTTACACTGTTCCAAACACAGATAATAATGTATTTTTTCTTGGCTTGAACTCCTCACACATATACTTTGCTTTTTTCCTTTTAATAGAGAATGCTTAGATAAATAATGGTACATCCACATGACAGATCTATGCCAGTATAAAAATTATGCTTTTAACAGGCAGTTCAAAAAAAGAAGAAATAAAAATCTGCCATACACACATAAAGAAATATCTAACCTCATTAGTAATAAGGGACATAATTTCTTATTTATGTCAGAATACATAAATAAAAATACCACATAGTTTTTCTATAATGATTAGTAATAGCCGGTGTTGGTGAAGTCATAGAGAAATGTCACTTGGCTGCTGGTATTATCAGTCAGTATGTCCTTTCCAGATAAAAGCTTGGTAGTATGTAGCCAAAGCCTGAAAAATTCATGTAAATTATTTTTTGCTTAGCAATTCCATGGAGTGGGTGTGTATGTGTATGTGTTTATATATTTTTTAATTAGGACAAGTATAGCATTTCTTATATTATAAAAACTTGGAATATCCTAAGTGCCCAAAAGTAGAAATTATTTAAATAAAAGTTATGCTATACAATACGATACAGTTAGAAAAGATATTAATAATACATAGGTAATAATAAAAAATTATAAAATTCCATATAAAAAATAATTTTGTTAAATTATATATAAGAACACATAAAATGTCAAGAAAATATGTAGTAAGAATTGGTAATAATTATCTCTGAATGGTAGAGACTATAGTGGTTTTTATTTTCTTTGCTTTTTGCATAGCGTTTTCTTTTACATTTTGAAATGAAAATTTTAATATTTTAATAAAAATAAAATACAAACTTAGGTCATAAAAATTCTTTTAATAAGATGAGATAATGCCAATATGGCAAAAGATAGATTGCTTTACAATTACAACTAGGTAGGAATGTGTACATTAAAATAAAGAAAGAAAAAAAGGAAGAAAGAAAAGGAGTGAAGGATGAAAGGCAGGCAGGCTGAAAGACATCTCTTCTAACCAGTTTTCTTTGACCAGTAGAATTTGGGGCAAATATTTTCAACTCTCATGAACTTTTATACTTTCTAATATATTACCAATTTTATACTTAGAAAAACAAGAAAGAATTTTATTTTTTAAATGTAAAATTGAACTTAACAAAGTAATCAGCATCTTTCTGCCATATTTTATTTTATTCACTTGTCTGCTATATCAAGTCTCCATTTTTAGGCCTAACATCAAGTTTCTGGGCTCAACCAAGCCACCACTTTAGGGAAATTTACATAAAATTTCTCTACTGAATTTATTATTTCAATCAGTGACAACAAGACTTTCTAGAATCCTCTTGTGACTCTAGCAGGGAGCTGAGCAGGATTAGACCTTGCTCATCTCCACTCAGCATTCCATCTCTGTCTCCAGGGGGGATGGAAAGCTGCTATGAGATCTTGGCACCACTTTGCAGACTCATGTTGTAGTGAATTTGCTTTTTGGCTTGAACTTCCCACACATATGCTTTCCCTTTCCGCTTTCAAGCAGAGGGCTCCTTGCCTGCACCAGTCTGGATGTCAGCAGGTGGCCTGCTGGCCTCAAAAGCTTTCTGCATGAATTACTGTGTGTGGTTTCTGCACATTGAAACTTGGCACCCACACATACACACACCTCCCTTGCTCCTTTCCCCTCCCCCTGCAACACTGTGTATTCCATAGAAGCCATCAAGATTTTTGGCTTGGATATTGGGCCAAAGCAAGACTTTCCTCAAAGAATCACCTAATTTCTGCTTATTAAGATACTGTACCTCATTTCCCTTTCCAGACAAAGCACGTGTTCCCATCACTTTCCAGCTTGTAGGCTCTCCTTCTCTAGTCCAGACTGCATATAACTACCGGATAAAGTGGATCTGGTCACTCAATGTCTCTAGAATCTTATGTAGCTGCCCTCACATTCAGAATTATGTATGTATTTCTTAGGGGTGAACAAGGTCCTTCATGATAGGACCCCAAGTTATCTACTCAGCCCTCATCTTTACCACACATTTCCCATGTTTTTTCTGCGGCATAACATGAGGTATCCAGACTTTACCTGCTTTCTCACTCTTCTCTGCTTTTCCATATGCTGTTCCTTTTGCCTTTGCAATTTTTTCCCTGGCCAATGCCTCCTTATTCTTCAAAAGTTCATTTGAGTGTTTCCACTGGAAAGCCTATCCTGACTCCAACACCTTCCCCTGTACCCCAATCCAACTCCGGATACTCCTACAAACATGGAATAGTATTTGCCAGTAATATCTGTCTTTCACTGGATCCTAAGGTCCTTGCAGGCAGAGATAGGGCCTTTTTGTGGTTTTATTCTAGCACCTAGCCTAGCTTTGGGTAAATAGCAAGCACTCAAAAATGTATCCAGCAATTCTGCTCATGGGTATAATCCCAATATTTGCAAGACATGTTCAAGAATGCTTACAAAAGCATTACTTGACTTAATCCCAAACAGAACATGATCTAAATGTCTAATACATGTGGAATGGATAGTAAATCATGTCACTTTAAATAAATCCTTTACAACGAGGAGACTGAATGAATTACAACTACATGCAACAATATGAATGAATCTCACAAACATAATGTTGAGTGAAAGAAGTCAGACATAAAAGAGTCAGTGATGTATAATTCCATTCATATGAGCTCAAAAGCAGGCAAAAGTTGCATTCATGGTATTAGAATTCATGACAGTAGTTACCTTGAGGATATAGAGTAACTGATAGGGGGCAACTGGGAGCCCAGTAATGTTCTATTTCTTGATCTGGGTGCTGGATACATGGACATTGTTACACTGTAAAAATTCATCAAGTTGTATATGTATGATTTACACATATGTGTATATTTTATACTTTCATAAAAATTTTAATTGAGAAAAGTTCCCTTTGTGAAACATATTTCTCTGTGGCGTTTAGGATAGTGATGTAAATGGAGAGTGTAAGTTTGACTCAAGTCCATCGCCAGCTTGACTGATGCTCTTTTCCCCACTCAGAATGGTACTGCATGGTAGAAGAGAAAAGTAAGAGAAAAACCATTTTCCTAGACAAAGGTTAGCATTTGCTTTAAGAAATGTGATGGTCGCGGGGGTGATGGAGTCAGCAAACCATCATGGCATGCAGTTACCTATACAACAATCCTGCAGGATGCAGGATATGCACATGTACCCCAGAGGCCAAAGTACAATAGAAAAAAAAGAAAAGAAAGAAATGTGATGGTCAATTGTGTCAGCAGGTGTTCTTTGGATAGTTTGACTTCTCAACTTGAATTTCAGAAAGTACAAATAATTTTGGAGTAAGTCAGGATATAAATAAACAAATTAGAATTTTCCTCTTTTCTTGTTATCTCCATCCATCAGCTCTTAAGGCTTCTGTCTTCAATGAAAATAGGCTTATTGGCTTGCACACATCAATCAAATCTGTCACAGACCTTATTGATTCACATTTTACCACTGCAGTTTAAAATTGGTTTTCCTCTTCTTGCTACAAGAATTGTCCTTAATTATCGAAATTAATGACTTTGAGCTGAAGTTTTTTTGCTCCAAATTTTAAGCCTATAAATATCAGACTATGGATATTAAAATAATACATTTTCTCTCTTTAAACAAACACACAAATGTGGAGAAGGAGCCTGGAAGTCTTGTCTCTGAGATAGCGTCAGTCATCTTGGCGGCTGCCTTCTGCAGCCTGCACACTGGAGCCAGTCCAGCCATAGCTGCCATAACTCGCCGGATTTCTCTTTTACATTCCGTAATAAAAGACTTTCAATGTCTGCACAGATGGGAATTCTGCTGCCACCTTCTCATTTCACATTTCCTGCACTTTCTTTCCAAAGCGCTTGCCTGCCTGAAATAGAATCGTAGTTTTTTTCAGTCTACGTGTAGGAATTTAGTGGGAGAATGGACAGGGTATCTGTAGTTCCGTATAATTACCACACCATGAAGTAATTTTCCTGTTGACTATAAGGTACTTAAAGGAGGCAGAAAGGTGCTCAGAGGTTTTTCAGAGAACTGCACCTGATTTTCTTTCTGGAGACAGTTGGAAAGGGCCCATGAAGAGGCAGGATGTCAGTGTTGACCGCATGAGCCTTTAGGAAAGAGGAGGCAGTAGCCTTTGCCTGGCTTGCCACCTACTAGGCTCCCTCACGAATCCCCTGCCCTCATGAGATCTCTTCCCAAAGGGATATCCCCCCATCCTCTGCCTTTTTAAACTGGGCTCCCACAAGGATCAAATGTCCATGTTTCTCTCTGCCTAGTTGAATTCTCTCTATCCTTCAAGACTATCTCTGATCATACCTTTTCTGGGAAGCCTTCCTGAATAGCTTGAGCTGGAAGTAATTTCCCCTATGTCTGAACACAGAGCCTCTAATGATCGCATATTCTTCTGTTGCTCACACACAAAGACAATATGCAGTAATAAAAGCTAATGAAATAAATGACATTTACTGAGTACTTATGTGCCAGGCACTATCTTTTCACTTTACATGTGTGAAGCCAGAATTCTTACAGTGATTTTTATGGGGTAGGTTATATTATTATTCCCATTTTACAGATGAGGATCCTGAGATATATTATGATATCATACCTAATCAGATCAGAAGCTCCACTTACCATCTCTCTGACTTATTGATTTGCCTCTTTCACCGCACAAAGCTCAGGTCCTTGCAATCAGTAATTTCTTGGCTAATATTTGTCTATTTATTAATGTGCTTAATGGAACTTCAGACCATGAAAGTAAAATTTGAAAAACATTTCTGATGGTCAGATACACTACTTTTCATCTTCTGTCAACAGGGCAGGACTGTGAAATGATGTGGTGGGGTTGATAAAAATCACCATAATAAAAAAAAATCCTTAGTTAATATGCACTGTATGCCAGATGCTGTGGTAAGTGATGTATGTTCATTACATTTCTTAATCTCAGGTTCAGAGATTAAAGGATCAGAGAGAGATTGAAAAATGCTTTCAATAAGATCAAATAAATAGATGAAGGCAAAGGGAATACAACTGTTTTAAGTTAGAAAAATCCTAGGTTTAGTTATTACCCCAGAATGACTGTTCTAAGGATCCTCCTTTGGTGGTGAGACACAAATTTGACTCTAAGCCTTCTAGTGTTTATGGCAAAAACAGACACACAATCAATTATAGCACCTACACACTAAGCTAAAGACAAACCAGCTATTTGAAGGTAGCACTCATAAATGTTGAATCAAACCATTTCTTCTTACAATTCTCAACATAGGCCATTCCCATCTTGCAGAAGAGCAGAATGGTAAAATCCATTCTAGGAGGAGGCAGATTACTGGGCTTAAGTATGCAGTTGAGTTTGGCTTAATGTACGATACCTAAGAGCTGGATGGACTGCACATGTTTCAGAAAAATTCTCTATGAATGTTATTTCTCATAACCACTGTGTCATACTCTCTGTGCCAGACAATTATCCTTCCTTTTTCAACTAAAAGCTGCGTAGGTATTTTGGTATAACTCTTATTAACATCCTTTAGAATTAGCATGCCAGGAATAGTCTTTGGAAAACCTAGTCCTGTGGGCAATATAGAACTTTAAAAACTGACTTTTCCAAGGGGAAAATGAAATCCAAACTCCTTTGTATTATTTATGGTACTTTTCACAACCTGATCTCAACCTGCTTTCTAGACCGAATTCATTGTCCTCCTTTCAGCACCTTCATGCTTCCTTCAAACCAGTCTCATGAAAATGTTCAGTGCTTTTACTCATTGAAACCTCATAGACACTTCCTAGAAACCCCTCTTCTCTTTCCCTTCTTCCCTGTTTCTCCACCTAGTGGGTCTTGAAGGACGTTGCCTTTCCTGCAAACCCCGATTCCATCTAACAATTGATTTTACCCTATACTAGAGTCCTATAGCATCTTGCTTATATCACATTTTATTATCCTCTTTTGTTAGCATCTCTGATTTTTCTGCCAAACTGTGAGCTCCTCCAGGGTAGAATGTGTTTTATTTACCTTTGTATCTCAGCACTGGGGACATAGTCTGACCTGGACTCATTTCACCAAGTATTTATTGTTTCCTGCACTGACAAAGCGAGCTGGGACAATTCTTATTCTAAGATGCTACATAAAAAAAAAAAAAAAAAATGTTACTCCACAGGTGACCCACGTATGTTTCCATTATTCTCTGAAGCTATTTGGTGCTATGCAGATTGATTATTCAGTACTATTTGGTATAAAAAGGATAATCTAGTAAATGGGTTGAACTACAAATGGAATGCACTAAACTCTTTTTTTCTCAGTTTTTTCCAGATTTGAAAAGCTCCAAAGAAAGCTGTACCTGTATGTTGCCATTTATTTCAAGTGTTTTCTCTTTTTGTGTAACATCTGTCATGCCAAAGAATTTCACTTGTGTTTGGCATGTGGATGAATCACTTCAGCCACCAATAAAACGTACAGCCCTTACAGGTAAAACAGAGCAACTACCCCAGAAGACCTTGACAATATTACAGCAGAGCTAAGAGGTGGGTCAGAAAGGAAAAAAATGACTTTCTTCCTACTGGCCTGACATAAATAGGACTTTTAAGAACTAAATTACCAAATTTTCCTGTCGTTGAAAGGACCTATTTGGGTAAAGGTCACAGTAAGTATTATGCAAATCTGATCTTATTTCTGGACTTCAAAAATCTTTTAATCCTTCATCCATTACAAAAAGTAATATTATAGACATTCAGAGCCATATAAGCACTGCACAAATATGAAATTTTTCACAAATGGAGTTTCAAAAATGTGTTGAGCAATGGAAATATTTTGGGTATAGAAATTGGAAACAGTATTTGAAGAGTTACTTTGCATCAATTTGCTTATGGCTAATATTAACCAGTTCAACAAAGTTAATGCCGTGATGGGAGGGGGACAAATCTTGGGAAGGAATATTCTCATCTTGCAAAGCATCTGCCTCAAGGAATGCCTCTGTAATACTTTTAGACAAAAAATACTGAACTAACTCCACAGGCCCAGAGGGTTCAAGGATTCTGAGGACTCAAGGTTCTCAAATTCCTTCATCTAGATGTTCTTATCCTATGTCCCAGGATCCCATTTTCTTTCCCTATCAAGGCTAGACTTCAGAATATGAGGTTTAGTAGAACTTCAAATTGAGCCTTCTCTGCAATTTGACTCTCTCAGTTAGGTCCTGGGACTGATTTTAAGCCAATAGGCCTTAAGATCACATTATCTGACTTCAAATTATGGTACAGAGCTATAGGAATGAAAACAACATCATATTAGCATAATAACAGACACACATACCAATGGAATAGAATAGATAACCCAGAAACAAATCCATGAATCTACAGTAAACTTATTTGTGACAAAGGTGCAAAAACATACATTGGGGAAAAATAGTCTCTTCCATAAATGGTGCTGGGAAACTGGATATCCATATGGAGCAGGATGAAACTAGACCCCTATCTCTTGCCATACACAAAAATAGAATCAAAATGGATTAAAGACTTAAACCTAAGTCCTCAAACTATGAACTTACTAAAAGAAAATATTTGGGAAACTGTCCAGAACACTGGGGCAAAGACTTCTTGAGTAATATCCCACAAGCACAGGCAACCAAAGCCAAAAAAAAATATGGACAAATAGGAACACATCAAGTTAAAAGCTTCCACACAGCAAAGGAAGCAATCTACAAAGTGAAGAGATAACCCATAACAAATTGAAACTACAGTGAGATATCTCTGCAGTGAAAATGGCTTTTATCCAAAAGTCAGGTAATAATAAATGCTGGTGAAGGTATGGAGAAAAGGGAATCCTCATACACTGTTGGTGGGAATGTAAATTAATACCATCACTATGGGGAACAGTATGGAGGTTCCTTACAAAACTAAAAATAGAGCTACCATATGATTCAGGAATCCCATTGCAAGGTATATACCAAAAAGAAAAGTAATCAGTATATTGAAGAAATACCTGCACTATCATGTTTATTGCAGCATTATTCATAATAGCCAAGATTTGGGAGCAATTTAAGTGTTCATCCACAGATGAATGGATAAAGAAAACGTGGTATATATACTGAAGAGATACAGTCATTTACAACAACATTGTTGGAACTGGAGGTCATTATGTCAAGTGAAATAATCCAGGCACAGAAAGACAAACTTTACATGTTCTCACTTATTTGTGGGAGGTAAAAATTAAAACAATACTCTTGTAGACAGAGAATAGAAAGATGGTTATTAGAGGGTGGGAAGGGTAGTGAGGGGAAGAGGAGATGGTTAATGGGTACAAAAATTCGAATGAATAAAAACTAGCATTTGATAGCACAAGATTACTATAGTCAATAATAATTTAATTATACATTTCAAAATAACCGAAAGAGTATAATTATATTGTTTGCAGCACCAAGGATAAATGCTTGATGTGATAGATACCTTATTTGACCTGATGTGATTATTATGTATTGCATTGCCTCTATCAAAATATCTCATGTGTACCATAAATATATACACCTACTATATACCTACAAAAATTAAAACACAATGAAACAAAATGAAAAAATTGGCTGATTTCTCATTCTTCAGCTCTCAGCTTAAATGTGACTTCACTTAAGTCCTAGGGAGTTCTTCCTTCACTGTTCTATCTGCAGTAGATCACCTCATAAACTTCATCATCCCTGCACACTCTTTCCTTTATAACATGTATGACAATCTTTAATTATTGCATGTGTGTGTATAAAATTTTTTGTCTGTACTTAGAGCTAGAATAAGGCCTATTAAAATGTAGTGCTAGTTCAGGGCTTGGCACAAAATAGACTCTTTTTAAATGCTATTTTTTATTTATTTATTTATTTATTTATTTATTTATTTATTTATTTATTTATTTATTGCATTTTAGGTTCTGGGGTACATGTAAAGAACATGCAGGACTGTCACATAGGTACATACATGGCAATGTGGTTTGCTGCCTCCATCCCCATTACCTATATCTGGCATTTATCCCCATATTATCCCTCCCCAAATCCCTACCCCCAACTGTCCCTCCCCTAGTCCCCCAACCCACAGACCTCAGTGTGTGATGCTCTCCTCTCTGTGTCCATGTGTTCTCATTGTTCAACACCTGCCTATGAGTGAGAATATGCAGTGTTTGATTTTCTGTTCTTGTGTTAGTTTGCTGAAAACAATAGTTTCCAGGTTCATCCATGTCCCTACAAAGGACACAAAAATCATCATTTTTTATGGCTGCATAGTATTCCATGGTGTGTATGTGCCACATTTTCCCTGTCCAATATATCATCGATGGGCATTTGGATTGGTTCCAAGTCTTTTGCTATTGTAAACAGTGCCACAATGAACATATGTGTGCATGTGTCCTTATAATAGAAAAATTTATAATCCTTTGGGTATATACCCAGTAATGGGATTTCTGGGTCAAATGGAATTTCTATTTCTAGGTCCTTGAGGAAGTGCCACACTGTCTTCCATAATGATTGAACTAATTTACAGTCCCACCAACAGTGTAAAAGTGTTCCTATTTCTCCACATCCTCTCCAGCATCTGTTGTCTCCAGATTTTTAATGATTGCCATTCTAACTGGTATGAGATAGTATCTCAATGTACTTTTGATTTGCATTTCTCTAGTGACCAGTGATAATGAGCATTTTTTCATATGTTTGTTGGCCTCATATATGTCTTCCTTTGAAAAGTGTCTGTTCATGTCCTTTGCCCACTTTTGAATGCCTTTGCTTGTTTCTTGTAAATCTCTTTTAGTTTTTTGTATATTATGGATATAAGTCCTTTTTCAGATGGGTAGATTGTGAATTTTTTTTCTCATTCTGTTGGTTGCCAGTTCACTCTAGTGATTCTTTCTTTTGCTGTTCAGAAGCTCTGGAGTTTAAATAGATCCCATTTGTCTATTTTGACTTTTGTTGCCAATGCTTTTGGTGTTTTAATCATGAAGTCCTTGCCTATGCCTATGTCCTGAATGGTTTTGCCTATGTTTTCTCCTAAGGTTTTTATGGTGTTAGGTCTTATGTTTAAGTCTTTAATGCATCTGGAGTTAATTTTAGTGTATAGTGTCAGGAAGGGGTCCAATTTCTGCTTTCTGCACATGGCTAGCCAGTTTTCCCAACACCATTTATTAAATAGGGAATCCTTTCCCCATTGCTTGTTTTTGTCAGCTTTGTCAAAGATCAGATGATTGTAGATGTGTGGTGTTGCCTCTGAGGCCACTGTTCTGTTCCATTGGTCTATATCTCTGTTTTGGTATCAGTACCATACTGTTTTGATTACTGCAGCCTTGTAATATAGTTTGAAATCAGGTAGCATGATGCTTCCAGATTTGTTCTTTTTGCTTAGAATTGACTTGGCTGTGCGGGCTCTCTTTTGGTTCCTTATGAAGTTTAAGGTGGTTTTGTCCAGTTCTGTAAAGAAGGTCATTGGTAGCTTGTTGGGGATAGCATTGAATCTATAAATTACTTTGGGCAGTATGGCCATTTTCACAATATTGATTCTTTTTAACCATGAGGGTGGAATGTTTTTCCATTTGTTTTTGTCCTCTCTTATTTCATTGAGCAGTGGTTTGTAGTTCTCCTTGAAGAGGTCCTTTACATCCTTTGTTAGTTATATTCCTAGGTATTTTATTCTCTTTGTAGCAATTGTGAATGGCAGTTGGTTCTTGATTTGGCTGTCTTTTAGTCTGTTATTGGTGTATAGGAATGCTTGTGATTTTTGCACCTTGATTTTGTATCCTGAGACTTTGCTAAAGTTGCTTATCAGTTTCAGGAGTTTTTGGGCTGAGATGATGGGGTCTTCTAAATATACAATCATGTCATCTGCAAATAGAGACAATTTGACTTCCTCCTTTCCTAATTGAATACTCTTTATTTCTTTTTCTTGCCTGATTGCTCTGGCCAGAACTTCCAATACTATATTGAATAGGAGTGGTGAGAGAGGGCATCCTTGTCTAGTGCCAGATTTCAAAGGGAATGCTTCCAGTTTTTGCCCATTCAGTATGATATTGGCTGTGGGTTTGTCATAAATAGCTTTTATTATTTTGAGATATGTTCCATCAATACCTAGTTTTTAGCATAAAAGGCTATTGAATTTTGTTGAAGGCCTTCTCTGCATCTAGTGAGATAATCATGTGGTTTTTATCTTTGGTTCTGTTTATGTGGTGAATTACATTTACAGACTTGTATGTGTTAAACCAGCCTTGCATCCCTGGAATGACCTACTTGATCGTGACGGATAAGCTTTTTCATGTGCTGATGCAAATGGTTTGCCAATATTTTATTGACGATTTTTGCATCTATGTTCATCATGGATATTGGCCTGAAGTTTTCTTTTCTTGTTGAGTCTCTGCCAGGTTTTGGTATCAGGATGGTGTTGGTCTCATAAAATGATCTGGGGAGGATTCCCTCTTTTTGGATTGTTTGGAATATTTTCAGAAGGAATGGTACCTGCTGCTCTTTGTGTGTCTGGTAGAATACAGCTATGGACCCATCTGGACTGGGGCTTTTTTTTTTTTTTTTGGTTGGTAAGCTATTAATTGCTACCTCACCTTCAGCCCTTGTTATTGGCCTATTCAGGGTTTTGACTTCTTCCTGGTTCAGGCTTGGGAGGGTGTGAGTGTCCAGGAATTTATCTATTTCTTCCAGGTTTACTGGTTTGTGTGCATAGAGTTGTTTGTAATAATCTCTGATGGTGGTTTGTATTTCTGTGGAATCTGTGGTGATATCCCCTTTATCATTTTTTATTGCATCTATTTTATTATTCTCTCTTTTCTTTTTTATTAATTTGGCTAGTGTCTATTTTGTTGATCTTTTCAAAAAACCAGCTCCTGGATATATTGATTTTTTTAAGGATTTTTTGTGTCTCTATCTCCTTCAGTTCTGCTCTGATCTTAGTTATTTCTTATCTTCTGCTAGCCTTTGAGTTTTTTTTATCTTGCTCCTCTAGCTATTTCAATTTTGATGATAGGGTGTCAATTTTAGATCTTCCCTTGCTTCTCATGTGGGCATTTATTGCTATAAGTTTTCCTTTAGAGGCTACTTTAAGTGTGTCCCAGAGATTCTGGTACGTTGTGTCTTTGCTCTCATTGATTTCAAAGAACATCTTTATTTCTGCCTTCATTTCATTGTTTATCCAGTCAACATGCAAGAGCCAGTTGTTCAGTTTCCATGAAGTTGTGTTGTTCTTATTTTCTGAATTCTGAGTGCTAGTTTGATCGCACTATGGTCTGAGAGACTGTTTGGTATGATTTCAGTTCTTTTGCATTTGCTGAGCAGTGCTTTCCAATTATGTGGTCAATTTTAGAGTAGGTGAAGAATGTATATTCTGTGGATTTGGGGTGGAGAGTTCTGCAAATGTCTATTAGGTTTGCTTGGTCCAGGTCTGAGTTCATGTCCTGGGTATTCTTGTTAATTTTCTGTCTCATTGATCTGTCTAATATTGACAGTGGAGTGTTAAATTATTGTGTGGGAGTCTAAGTCTCTCTGTAGGTCATTGAAAACTTGCTTTATGTACGTGGGTGCTCTTGTATTGGTTGCATGTATATTTAGGATTGTTAGCTCTTCATGATGCATTGTTCCTTTTACCATTATGTAATGCCCTTTTTTTGTCTCTTTTGATTTTTGTTGGTTTAAAGTCTATTTAATCAGAGACTAAGATTGCAACTCCTGCTTTTTTTTGCTGTCCATTTGTTTGATACATCTTTCTCCATCCCTTTATTTTAAGCCTATGTGTGTCCTTGCACATGAGATGGGTTTCCTGAATACAGCACACCAATGGGTCTTGACTTTTTATCCAATTTGTCAGTCTGTGTCTTTCAATTGGTGTATTTAGCACATTTACATATAAGATTAATATTGTTCTGTGTAAATTTGATCCTGCCATTTTGATGCTAGCTGGATGTTTTGCCTGTTAGTTGATGCATTTTTTTCATTGTGTTGATGGTCTTTACCATTTGCTGTTTTTGTAGTGGCCAGTACTGTTTGTTCCTATCTGTGTTAAGTGCTGCTTTCAGGAGTTCTTGTAAAGCAGGCCTGCTGGTGATGAAATCTCTGAGCAATTGCTTGTTCATAAAGGATTTTATTTCTCCTTCACTTATGAAGCTTAGTTTGGCTGGATATGAAATTCTAGGTTGAAACTATTTTCTTTAAGGATGCTGAATATTGGCCCCCACTCTCTTCTGGCTTATAGGGTTTCTGCTGAAAGATCTGCTGTGAATCTGATGGAATTCCATTTGTGGGTAACCTGACTTTTCTCTCTTACTGCCCTTAGCATTTTTTCCTTTATTTCAACCCTGGTGAATCTGATGATTATGTGCCTTGGGGTTACTCTTCTTGAGGAATATCTTTGTGGTGTTTTCTCTGTATTTCCTGGACTTGAATGTTGACCTGCTTTTCTAGGTTGGGGAAGTTCTCCTGGATAATATCCAGAAGAGTGTTTTCCAGCTTGGATTCATTCTCTCCATCACATTCAGATCCACCTATCAAAAATAGGTTAGGTCTTTTCACATAATCCCATATTTCTTGGAGGCTTTGTTCATTTATTTTTACTCTTTTTTCTCTAATCTTGCCTTCTCATTTTATTTCATTGAGTTGATCTTCAATCTCTGATATCCTTTCTTCTGCTTGGTCAGTTTGGCTACTGAAACTTGTGTCTGCCTCACCAAGTTCTTGTGTTGTGTTTTTCATCTTCATCAATTCATTTATATTCCTTTCTAAGCTGTTTATTCTTGCTAGCATTTTGTCAAACCTTTTTTCAACGTTCTTAGTTTCTTTACATTGGGTTAGAACATGATCTTTTAGCTCAGAGAAGTTTGTTATTACCCATCTTCTGAAGCCTGTTTCTGTCAATTCATCAGACTCATTCTCTATCCAGCCTTGATCCCTTGCTGGTGAGGAGTTGCGATACCTTGGAGGAAGGAGGCATTCTTGTTTTGGGTATTTTCATCCTTTTTGCACTGGTTTATTCCTATCTTTGTGGATTTATCTACCTGTGGTCTTTGTGGTTGGTGACTTTCAGATGGGGTCTCTGAGTGGATGTCCTTTTTGTTGCTGATGAAGTTATTTCTTTCTGTTTCTTAGTTTTCCTTCTAGCACTCAGACCCCCTGCTGTAGGACTGCTGTAGGTCCACTCCAGACCCTGCTTGCCTGGGAATCACCTTCAGTGGCTATAGAACAATAAGGGTTGCTGCCAGTTTCTTCTTCTGTTATCTTTGTCCCAGAAGGATACCCACCAGATGTCAGCCTAAGCTCTCCTTTATGAGGTGTCTCTTTGGTTATACAGGGGTTGGGAAGCTTCTTGAGGAGACAGTCTGTCCCTTACAGGAGCTCAACTGCTGAGCTGTGAGCTCCATTGTTCTGTTCAGAGCTGCTGGGCAGGTACTTTTAAGTCTGTTGCAGCAGAACTCATAAATGCCTTTTTTTCCCCAGGTGCTCTGTCCCTGGAATGTGGGGCTTTATTTAAAAGTTCCTGTCATTCTGCTGCCTTTTTTCAGAGATGCCCTGCCCAGTGAGGAGGTAGCCTGGTCACAGACTGCCAGCAGAGGTGTTGCTGAGCTGCTGTGGGCTCTCCCTAGCTGCTGTGTGAACTTCCTTGCCATTTTGTTTATAGGTGTATAGTTAGAACTGCCTTGGTAATGACAGTCTGCCTCAGTAATGGAGGACTGTCTCTGTAATGATGGACTGCCTTGGTAATGGCAGACTGCCTCAGTAATGGCGGACTGCCTGGGTAATGGCAAATTGCCTCAATAATGGCAGACTTCCTCGGCAATCGCGGACTGCCTCGGTAATGGACTGCCTCAGTAATGGTGGACTGCCTCTGTAGTGGTAGACTGCCTCGGTAATGGTGGACACCCTTCCCCCCACAGAGCTAGACCATCCCGGGTCCAGCAGTGCTTGCTGTGAAATTCTCAATCCAGAGTGTTTCAGATTACTGGTGTTTGTGGGGTAGGACCAGCTGAGCCAGATCACCTGGCTCCCTGTTTCAGTCCCCTTTTTTTCAGTTGAATGGGTGACTGTCTCCCAGGCATTCCAGTCACCAGTTGAAACAGTGCCCAGATTTGTGTGAGTTTTTGTGCAGAGACATGCTGCGCCAGCTGAAACAGCTGTGCTGGAGACTCATGGTGCTTTTCCACCTGGAAATCTCCTGGTCTGTGGCCAGTAAAAATTCATTTGGAAATACAATGATCACTCACCCTCTGCATTTTCACTGGAAACTGCAATCCAGAGCTGTTCCCATTAAGCCATCTTGGATCCTCAACCCAAAACAGACTCTTAATAAATATTTTGTAGTTAAACAAACATCTGAATTACTTCATTATGGAACTGGGGACCATTATTCTAAGTGAAGTAACTCAGGAATACAAAACCAAACATCATATGTTCTTATTCATAAGTGGGAGCTAAGCTATGAGGACTCAAAGGTATAAGAATAATACAATGGTCTTTGGGTACTCAGGTGAAAGGATGGGAGGGGGTGAGGAATAGAAGACCACACACTGGGTAGAGTGTACCCTGTTTGGGTGATGGGTGCACCAAAATCTCAGAAATCACCATTAAATAACTTATGTAACCAAACACCACCTATTTCCCAAAAAACTATTGAAATTTAAAAAAAGGATATATAGTGAAATAAATTTATTTCATTGAGATTGAGTGTATAAATGATATATAAAACATTTCAATTATATTTTTATGTGCACCAAACTCTAGATGCAAATGATATTTCATAAAGTTCAAAAGTGTTTTTTATTAGAACAATGACTTGATGCTACACCGAAAATAGCAGTATCTCTAGAAACTTTATGGATTTTTAATGCACAATGATGCTTCAGATGCTCACATCTGTCATTCTTGCAATATTTTCTTGAAATTTGTCAATTTCTTTATCTATTATAAATAAATCATGCAAAACTTGAGTTGTGAAAGAATGACACATTTTGAGAGCACTAAGTATAAATGATTATATATACAGTGAGGCATAACCTTCCCTCGTGCCCACCAGCCAAATCGTTCAAATTCCTTTGATGCTGGAGTTAAGTAAGAAAGGCAGTGTAGGACTGAAATAAATTCACCTCTGAAATGCCAATCACAGAAGTGCCCATCAGCTTTGAGCCCTGCCTTGATTGAACATTGGATATGCATGACAATGAGCTATGTGCCACTGTCATAGGATTTGTATCCATAATCAAAAAAATGTGAGGGCTAAATTTCAGGTGCACATTAAACCTACTGCGGGTAATAGATCATGATCTTTCAAAGCCATGAACAATCACTTAACGTCCATTTCCTCTTCAGCCACCTGGAACATCAAATCAAGAAGCATCCTTGAAAGGCTCAGATTTTGAATTGCAAAGTGATACCCAAAACATCTAGCTATTATACATAAAGCTGGGCAAGAAGAAATAAAACAAGTGGTGGATTTTTAAAAGAGAATTTTGGCTTGCATCTTTTATACATGAGGTAAAGGAAACTTAAGTTGAAAATTTTTTCCAGAAACCAAATCTTTTGTGACTACAGTTCTTTTACCAATGTAATAATGATGTCTCCTGCAGTTATCACTGGAAATACATAGAAGGGGAATGCTGGTCTCTAGAGCTCATGAAATTGCTAGGACTGATTGCAAGTTCATCTCCATGTAATAGTGTGTGGGCTTTCACAGGCACAGAGACTGCTTCTAGTACTTATTTAATAATTTTCCCATACTACATTCCCCTAGATAATTTCTATAAGAATATAAGAGGCAGGACATAATTTGAGGGGTCAGTAATTGGCTAGAGGCCTTGGAGTTTCATCAGTTTCTACTTCACATAGGAAAGAACAATATTGGCTATTATATTTTGAGTACCTGCAATGTACTGGTTTCTATTGCCTGCATTATCTCCTTCAGCCCTCTCTGTAGCACCCTATTATTTTTTTAAGCGGATGACAAGAAATGAGACAAATCACCAATGGGCACAAACAAGTAAGTGGCAGAGCGTGGATGAAAACCATGTCAGACAGCCTCCAAGGCTCATGCTCTTTCCACTGTGCTATGTGATTTTTGATTGAAGTCTGTTAAATATCAATCTATTCTTCCAATCAATGTTAAGATCAGTGCTCACTAGGAGGGAAGGTTGGGCCATTGACTTCCAAAGAATGTTTCCTATTTTTGAATCCAAATTTAGCTTCTCTGATAGTTTCCCTTCATGGGCTCACAGCGATTCCTGCTGACATTTCCAGCCAAGATAGTAGCATCTTTAGCCCTGCTGAGACTTCTTCCATTACTACTGGTGGTCAGGAGCTAAAGCTGGTTCCCACTGGAGGCTATACCCTGGAGCTTTCTATAGGAGGAACTCTCTTTAGCAGTGATTGCTCTCAGAAGTGGTGGCTTTCACCAAAATTACCTTCCTGACACCTCTTGCCTTCTCTCCTATCAGTGCAACCCATTGGCTTCAAACACTTTTTCTGAGGCAAATCATCAGCATAGTCCAATATGGACTCTACAGTCTCAAGCAGCTTTTGCACCTAATAGGTGACTATGAATAAAGCCACATAGTTCTTTGGAGGAAATTACTGTAATTCCTATGAAAATTTCCACTCACTGCCATAATTTTGGCTGCCCCGCTCAGCCCTATTTTAATTTGCTTGAAGCCAGGAACTACTCAGCTTTCTCTTAATTTCCTAGGTGGATTATTCCCAAGGAGACAGAAAAAGAAAACTACTTTCTCCCTTCTGGAAGTATCTGGATTCATATTACATACAGATAAGATGATGCAAAATCTGAGAATCTCCCTTCGTGGGGCAAAGGAGCATCTAAACATATCAAGATCCAGGTAGAATCCAAGAAATTCCTTAGTAATTTTAAATAGTTACATGAGGGAGCTGTGTTGGAAGCAAATTCTCCAGCCTTCAATTAATCATCATCCACTACCTACCACTCCCTAGACAGCACTGCATGGAGCAGAAACAAACCTTCCCCACTGTACGCCACCAAACAAGTGTTCTAACAGAAAATACTTCAACTATTAAAGGCCTCACTCTCATCTTAATCCATCTGCACCACTCATCTGTTTTTAAACTACTATATCTTAGAAATTATTTTTAATGTGTTTAGAGAATATATTACCAGCTCAATAATTAGCTTCTTGGAGATAGGTATCTGGTACTACATTTACTGAGCTATCTATATCTTTCAGCACAGTGACTTTCTAGGCAGTGAGCACTCTAAAAATATTTCTTGGTTAATTAAACCAGAGGCTGTGTGTTCTATAAAATAATATCATTTTTTATTGTGCTAGTTTTGCAAACATAAGATATGGTATGGTGCAGACATATTAAAACCTGGGTGTATAGGCACACTGACACTTAAGATACTGAAGAATTTGTCTTATAGAGAAATGCATATAATCACCAATTCTTTAATCCCCTGAAGTGCTTATGTAATGCTCCATTGAAATTCGATGTTCAAATTTCGAAATTTATTTAAAAAGTCAAACCACATTAGAGTCCCATCACTCATTGCAGTTTTCTGATTAATTAGTTACAGCACACAAATGAAGCAAGTTTGCAGTTAATGAACTACAAATAAATCTATCTGTAAATAATAATTACCACTAATAACCAAATTAGTTAGACTTCAGATTTGTTCTCTTTGCATTTACATTAATTTGTTTCTTTTACCCTAATCAGTTAAGTTTCATCTAAAGATAATTGGACAGATATGACTCTAGAATGACAGTATGAGGAGCTCAAAGCTACTCCCATACAAAACAGCTTTAACTGGTGAAAATTATTTTTAAAACTAGTACCTATTTAAAGTCTATGTAAATTTCCTAAGGGCATATATCAAATGAAGACATATTTATTCAAGAAAATCTATATGGTCAACTAATATTAGACTAGCACACCAAAATATACCATGAGGAAAGGAAAGGAACATTTTTTCAATAAATGGTGTAGGGTAGACTGGATATCCAGATGCAAAAATTAAAAAAAAATCAGACCCTTATCTTATACTATATATAAAAATTAAACTAGATCAAAGACTTAAATATAAGATCTTAAGCCATAAAACTCCTAGAAAAAAAAAAAAACAGGGAGAAGTACCTTGACACTGCTGTGGCAATAATTTTTTGGATAGCATACCAAAAGCACAGACAACAAAGCAAAAATAAATGAATGGGATGACATCAAACTAAAAAGCTTCTGCACAGCAAAGGAAACAACCAACAAAATGACAAGACAATCTCCAGAATGGGAAAATATTTGCAAAACATATTGTTGTGGGACTTTTCCTTAGTTCAGTTAAAGGTAGGTGTATTATTAGTCAAGGTTCTCTAGAGGGGCAGGACTAATAGGATATGTGTGTGTGTGTGTGTGTGTGTGTGTGTGTGTGTGTGTGTGTATATATATATATATATGAGATGTTACTAAGTATTAACTCACATGATCACAAGGTGCCACAATAGGCCATCATTAAGCTGAGGATCAAGAAGAGCCAGTCCAAGTCCCGAAACTGAAGGACTTGGTTTCTGACATTCCAGAGCAGGAAGCATCCAGAGCAGAAGAAAGATGTAGTCTGGGAGGCTAGGCCAGTCTAGTCTTATCAAGCTTTTCTGCCTGCTTTATATTCTAGCTTTGCTGACAGCTGAATCGATGGTGCCCACCCAGATTAAGGCTTGCCCAGCCCACTGACTCAAATGTTAATTTTTTTTGGCAACACCCTCACAGACGCACCCAGGATCAATACTTTGTATCTTTTAATCCAATCAAGTTGATACTAAGTATTAACCATCACATTGGGGTTCTTGTTTATTCCACAGCCACAAAAATTTAGGCTCCTGGAAGGGTTGAAGGGTGAGTAAAGAAGAGTTTAGTTGAGTGAAAAGGGGTACTAAGAGGGAAACAGAGATCCTCTGCAATGCCAGAGTCCCTGTTAGAGTGCTTCTTGCCCACAGCTTGAATCCCAGTTTCCACACAGGAAGAGGAGGGGCCAGGCTCCTCCCCAATGCTAATGAAGTGAACTTCTGTGGCTCCACCCAGTGCGCATTTCTCCCAGGGTGCAGGCTGGTTGGAATTTCTCTGGGGGCCCCCTTTCACCGTGCTGTCTTCATTCCCCTCTCTTAAGAAGGACATCTAACTGCCCTTAGAATAAGATTAGGACCAAGATTGGTCTTAACTGCTTCCTGCTGACAGGGGGTGCTGTTTTGGGAAAATGGCAGTCAGAGCTCCCTCAGAGGCCTATCAAAGGGTTCCTAGAAGAAAGGGCCATCTATCAGAGGCTCTGACTACGTGACAGTTTGAAATTTGATGGCCTAAAGTCAAGATCAGACAAATGGGGTTATTAGAAAACATGCATCAAAACAAAACAAAGGGAGGAGTAAGGACAGCTCAAAAATTCTTAGGCCTTTTATGAGTTTGCACAGGGAGAAGGAGGCTGAAAGACTGGTTAAGAAAAAAAATTTTTACCCTTTTGCTGACATGTTGGGCTTCTGGTTTCTGTTCCCCTGAGCCTGATCCTAAGCCAACCAGTTTAAGGTTTGAGAGAGAAACTCTTTTCAGTTTAGAGGATGCATCTGAGGGGGGTGTCCTGTCATACAGAGATACAATTACCTCTCTGTGAAGAGAGAACCAAGGAGGAGAAAGGAAAAAAGGTTTTTTATTTTTGTTTTTTTCAAAGGAGTCCCATTTGTTCAGGATGAATTTGAAAGGGGTACAGACTGAAGTTGAATGGCTACCCATCTAGAGAGAGAGGAGCAGGCATGCCTAGTTCCCTTCTCTTCCTAGCAGGTACGCAGGATAAGTGAGGGAGAGAGGGAAGAGCATCCTCTTTTCCTTTTCTGTCCTTATATCCCCAAGTCCTGGTGACCTCAGCTGGTGCCACCATGAGTACCAAAGTGGCTTGCACCCATGCAGCAGAGGTCTCTAGGGGTTGGAATCATCTGCTCTTACCAACATATGCCCTATCTCCCCTTCTGTCAGTAGCCTTGGAGTTCCCTAGACCTCATTTATGCCATGGATACTAATGTGGGCTTTATCCATGAAACAGGAAGCTCGGGCTTGGCTTAATCGGCAGGAATTAGCCACACTCACTTGTGCTGTGTCTTTTAACCTCGGTTGTCATCAGCCTTTGGATTCCTTAAATCCAGTTCTCTTTCCTAGGGCTTTGACCCAAAGCTTGGAATTGAGTTTGGAACAAAAACATATCTTAGGGGCATTGAATGGACTCCTTATCATAAGCCAAATGCTAAGGTGGAGTTATGGAAATGAGACCCCCAAAAAGGGAGAGAAAAGGATGTCTTGTGATACACCCAGATAAGTGGTGGCTATAGTTATGCTTGTAGGATTTGAGTGACTTTGGTTAGCTTTCTTGGTCTTACTTTCCTAAAAAAGAAACCTCAGAGTGATGGGCATCCTATTTATTCCAATCACTTAGCAGAATTTGCGGGATAACTGCTCAGAACTAGAATACTGATCCAGATTTTTACACTACCCATTCTTCTTGTTTTTTTCTGAACTGCAGCCAGAGACTGCTGGTTGGTTCACAGGAACAAGCAGGATTTATCTAAAATGTAGGCAAAAACTTAAAAACAACTAGTGAATTTAGAATTTAATGACAAATGTATGATAAGTTTTGGAACATAATTTCTTTCTCTCCAGCCCTCAGTTTTATTAAAACAAATTATGATAGGGCTGAGTGGTTTGCAAAATAGACTAGTTTTATACTTGTCCTGATGATTTTCATAAAGTGCAGCAAGCATAATTATTTCTACATAAGCCTTTTAGATTGGCTTTGATGGAATTCTATTCTCCAAAGGATCTCAGTCAAGATTTTTAAAGCCCAGCCCAGCCATGGGTTTATCCTCAAATACCTGTGAGTTGGGTGATCCTGTCATCTTAAGATCCCAAGATCAAGTTGAAGTTCCTGGACCTGTTAGAAAGTGACATTTTTTTTTTTTTTTTTTTTTGAGACGGAGTTTCGCTCTTGTTTACCCAGGCTGGAGTGCAATGGCGCGATCTCGGCTCACTGCAACCTCCGCCTCCTGGGTTCAGGCAATTCTCTTGCCTCAGCCTCCTGAGTAGCTGGGATTACAGGCACGCGCCATCATGCCCAGCTAATTTTTTGTATCTATAGTAGAGATGGGGTTTCACCATGTTGACCAAGATGGTCTCGATATCTTGACCTTGTGATCCACCCGCCTCGGCCTCCCAAAGTGCTGGGATTACAGGCTTGAGCCACCGCGCCCAGCTGAAAGTGACATTCTTTACTGACCACAGGCTGGGAATCCTGTACAGGGAATTTGTAGACGCAGGTATGAGGCCAGTCTCCCCACGGGGCTTTCACCAGCCCTGCAAATTGAGACTGACCCCTTAAAGAGAAGCATGTCCTTCCAATTAAAGACTTGGTAAAATAACCACTTTTCCAATTGTGTCCTGTTGCAAAAGAAAAATGGATTCTTATTCCACTGATGCAAACAACAATATTGCCATAAGAATACTCACAGATAGTTTCCAAATTTTATGGGAACCAGGCAGAGAAAAACAAACGTTCCAAATCTTGCTCATAGGAGTGTATTACCTTATTCAATTATGAAAGGCCATAAATAGTTCAAAACACATTTCCTTGACTCTGAAAAACAAAAGAAGGATCAGCAATATTCCTTGAGAAGTGGGTGATTTTGCCTGCTGTCATCTCCAGAGTAGTGGTTCAGAGATTTTGCCAGATGAAGAGGCAAGTCAAAATAACGTAAGATGTAGAAGCTTCTTCCCCCAATTGAATTTATCTGGTACAAAGTGTGGGTAAATTCAATCCTAAAGGCACTCTCAAGAACGA